AGGGTTGGAAGATGGAATAGTTGGAAGCTGGGGTGTCAGCCATGCATTGATGCAATTAATTGGTGCACTGAAATATGTAATACCACCAGAGCCTTGGTGGCGCAGTGGACTAAGTGCTGTTAAAGTAGCACTTAGTTGCCAGCTGCCTGCAATTACTGCAAGTTCAAATCTCACCAGGCTCAAGGTTGACTCAGCCTTCCATCCTTTCGAGGTAGGTAAAATGAGGACCCGGATTGTGGGGGCAATAAGCTGACTTTGTATGAAAAAGAACACCACTTAGGGGGGGCCAAAAGCCCTACTAAGCAGGTATATACAAAAGTATGAAGGCTATTGTTTAATGCATTGTAAACCGCTCTGAGTCTCTGGAGAAGGGCGGCATATAAATCGAACTAATAAATAAATAAAATAAATAATAAATAATATCTATGAATATTCTGGTAGAACTGGGTTTCTTTCTGTTCCAGGGACTCCTTTGAGAGCCTGGTGGAAATTGCAAGTTCCTGCAAATCCTTCTCAGAAGAGTGAATATAGATATATAAAATGAAATAAAGTTATATTCTCCCCCCCCATCCATAATCATCTGATTATAGAGAAGTTGGTTGATTCCTCTTAAGGAGTTTTCTGTCAGCTAAAATTCCTCCAAGAACTGAGCCAACCAGGGTGAATTATCAAAAAATTGATAATTTTTTTTTTTAAAAAATTAAAAAATGATTTTTTAAATTTAAATCAGATAATTTTTGATTTTTATCAAATTTATTTTAATAAAATGCTTTTGGAGTAAAAATCTATCCAAAGATAGTTTTTTATTTAAGATACATTAATAATTTCGTTTATTCAGCATGAAATGGAGCTTAGTTATGACGCATGAGGCTGTAAATTCTGCAATATTGGGACTGTCGGTGAGTCAACAGCAGGTCAGAGGTGGAGCCGCTGCGGGACAGAGATGACAGTTGCCCTTTTAAAATTATGGTTTAAATCAAGTTGATTTAAATCAAGCCTTTTTACTAGTGATTTAAATTGTGATTTAAATCAACTTGATTTAAATCAAATCCACCCTGGAGCCATCCGACCTATCTTGCTGATATTTAATAAGAATACCTGCAAATTAGTTGCACCTTCCCTTGAATTTCAATAGGGAAGGAAGATAGGATATAAATATAATAAAATCATTTCACATGCATGCCCCCAAACAAAACAATAAACCAGGAGTTCTGCTTTATTAAATGGTATTGTGCCCCACAGCCTATTCATTTATTTCCTCTCCATGAGTTGGTGAACATCCTGCACAGCTGAATGTTAACAAGAACCTGGGATTATGGTTAAATATGTCTAAAAAGCCAGATTTTGTAACAGTGATCCCTGGTTTATAAATCTGCTGCTTTGTAATCCCTGGTTTAGAGACAATATTGTGCTAAATGTATATGATTACTTTATCCATTTACTGTCCATGCCGCTTGCCCAAGGATACACCGTGCAGTTTGCAGCTTAATAAGCCAGAATTCCTAACTTGTTCTGTACGATAGCGCATAATTCTGTATTGATTGATCGATCAGAATACAGAAGACAATAATAAAACTGTAACATAATAGAGCAAGTAAGAAAGAAAATACAGTTCCTATTTCTGTATCATCTCTACAGTTTTACTTCAATAAGATCCATATATCCAGTTCTCAATTGTGCTGTTTTATTCACAATTCCCCACAATGCTGATTGGGGAATTCTGGGAATTGAAGTCCACAAGTCGTAAAGTTGCCAAAGTTGGACACTCCTGGCCTAAACCCACTTGCCTTTCTTTCTTTCCCCAAATCCTGCCATTCAGGGGTTGTAAGTGCTTCCAAATTGTTTCAGAAAGGAGCCTGGCATCTTTCTGGCATCATCATCATCATCGTCGTCAGGCTAGAGACTTTCATTTCTTGACCTCTGCTTTCAACTGCAGAAACAGTTTCTCCGTTTCTTGTGTTTGTTTTTCAAGTGATCCGCATGCCCCTCGCCAGAAGAAAATGCTGACAGCTCTTTCTGTCCCCGTGCTGAATAATAAGCTCCATTCGGCACTCTGATCGGATGAGCCGGAGGGAGAGAAAAGTTGGAAGCATTTGTTAGCCAGGCAGGGCTCAGTTTTATGCGTATTTGTTTTCAGATCACTCCTGAATGACTTTTTACTGGAGTGTCCCCATTACCAGTGGTCACCAGCTCTAGAGGGCTACTGTTCAGTGGTGAAATCCATTTTTTTTTACTACTGGTTCTATGGGTGTGGCTTGGTGGGCGTAGCAGGGGAAGGATACTGTAAAATCTCCATTCCCACCCCACTCCAGGGGAAGGATACTGCAAAATCACCATTCCCTCCCCACTTCTGGGGGAAGGATGTTGCAAAATCACCATTCCCACCCCACTCCAGGGGAAGGATACTGCAAAATCACCATTCCCACCCCACTCTAGGGGAAGGATACTGCAAAATCACCATTCCCTCCCAACTTCTGGGGGAAGGATGTTGCAAAATCTCCATTCCCACCCCACTCCAGGGGAAGGATACTGCAAAATCCCCATTCCCTCCCCACTTCTGGGGCCAGCCAGAGGTGGTATTTATCGGTTCTCCAAACGACTCAAAATTTCCACTACTGGTTCTCCGAACTGCTCAAAATTTCCGCTACCGGTTATCCAGAACCTCTCAGAACCTGCTGGATTTCACCCCTGCTACTGTTGATTAATGCATCTGTTTTGGAGATGAAGATCTGGTGTAACTCGCAGCAACTGGCCATTGCCATATTATTTGCCATGCACTTTTAAGGGTAGCATCTTGGGAGAATGGAAAGACGACAGGTAGTCCTTGACTTACGACAGTTCATTTAGTGATCATTTGAAATCACCAAAGCAGTGGGGGAAAAAAAGTGACTTGTGACCATTTTTCAACCTTTTGACCAGCGGTAGGTTCTACATATGCTTACCACTGGTTCGCCACGCACACGCTCGCTTCATGTGTGCGCGCCTTCCATGCATGTGCCCGGCCTTCCACAAATGTGCATTGTTTGCGCGCGCACACCATCCACACATGTGTGCGGCCTTCCACAAATGTGCTTTGCTCGTCTGCGTGCCTTCCGCGCATGCACCCAGCCTCAAAAACGTGGCTAAATAGGATGGCATTACGTCCGGGCAGGTGGGCGCAGTCTCTGCTACCGGTTCGCCTGAACCGGTACGAACCGGCTAAATACCACTCTGCTTATGACCATTGCAGCTTCCCCAAGCTGATCAAAATGATCAAAATTCAGAGGTCACGGGATCCCCTTTTGCGACATTCTGCCAAGCAAAGCAAATGGGGAGGGGGAGCCAGATTTGCTGAACAACCCCGTGGCCCATTTAACAGCCACAGTGACTCGCTGAACAACGGTGGCAAGGAAGATCGTAAAATGGGGCAAAATTCACTTGGCAAAAATGTTTCACGTTTGGGCTCAAAAGAGATGCCTGCTTTTTTCTCTGACCCTGCAAACAGCTGCGTTTATCTGCTTTGCCATGTGATCTTTAATCTTTAGAGAATATGGCCTCAAAACAGAAGGAAGAAAAAGGCTGCTCACTTCGGCTCTGCTTTTTCTTTCTTGATTTTCCCCAGAAGCCCTGCCAGCTTTCACTGAATCTGTACCTGATCTCAGCATACTTTTTTTTTTTTTAAAATTGCCATCTGTTTCCCAGGTGCTGCTACCTTGACTACGTCTTGATAGTTGGGTCTGAAATCTAGCGATTTATCATGGATCACCTGTCAAAAGAAAAAAAGAGTTTTCGGTCTCTTTGTAGAATTATTTTCTTCTCTTTGCTGTTGAGGCCCAGGATTGTTTCGCCCTCCGTTTTCAAAACTTAACACCTGCGAGTCTTCCTTTCTGAAACTGAGGACTAATCCACAGGCATTCAAATCTTATTAAAAGCTGCTGCATTGTGTGTGTGTGTGGTGGTGGTGGGGGCAGCAGACAGTTGCTATGATTTGGTCAACCTTTCAAATCTAAATTATAAATAATAAAGGCAATGCAGATCTAATAAAGTTCCATGCAGAATTGTCAACTTGATCCTTTCTTTAGAATATATTCAATCTGCCACGTGTGTGTGTGTGTGTGTGATCCGTGTGTTAAAATGGCCAACCTTTTCTGCTGTATGTACACCTGGGCCTGGGGTATTTCCCAAAGATAATGGGAAAGGTATCCCATTAAGAGCCGTGGTGGCGTAGTGGTTAGAATGCAGTACTGCAGGCTACTTCTGCTGACTGCCAGCAGTTCGATTGTCACTGGCTCAAAGTTGACTCAGACTTCCATCCTTCCGAGGTTGGTAAAATGACCCAAATTGTTGGGGGCAAGATGCTGACTCTGTAAACCTCTTAGACAGGGCTGTGAAGCAGTATATACTGTTTCCCCCCGAAAATAAGACCCTGTCTTATATTTTTTTGAATCCTGAAATAAGCGCTTGGCCTTATTTTCCGGGAGGTCTTATTATTTTGGGGCGTGTGGAGCAAGATGGGGCTCCTCTTACCGTCTTACCTGATTTCCAGCTCTGCATTTAAATATTTTTGGGGATGACTTATTTTCGGGGAAACAGGGTAAGTCTTAAGTGCTATTGCTATTGCTATCCAGAAGTTGTTCCTGTTTCAGTAAATGTTGGGGGAGCTTCACAATCATCCAGATCATGGTTGTCCCAAAGGTGCTTTTTCAAGAGGCAACTGAACTTTTTCTTTTTTCCTTGAAGACGTTTCGCTTCTCGTCCAAGAAGCTTCTTCAGTTCTGACTGAATTGTGACTGACCATTCTGAATGAGAACTGAAGAAGCTTCTTGGACGAGAAGCGAAACATCTTCAAGGAAAAACAAAGGAATCCAGTCGCCTTTTGAAAAAGCACCTATGGGAAATCCCAGTAATGCTGGGTTGGGGGAGGGGTATGACTGACCGCATTCTGCAATGTTGCCTGTGATAAGTATGGCATCCTCTCTTTCTGTTGGAATGACCACGGTTACTTTTCTTTCTCCTGGCAGGAAGAGTTCCTGGGCTTCCATTCAGAGGACGACGCTTTTCAAAGCTCACTGCGTGCTGCTCTAAGATCTAAAAGAGGTAAGGAATTTCTGGAGGCATCGATGGGTGGTTTGGGTCCTACCTTGGCATGGGCCAAACTCAGAAGATTCTCGTGAGAGTTTGGCCTTCCATCTTAACATCTTGTTGGGGAGTTTTAGCGTTCTCGCCTAAAACTTCACGGGGTATCAGTTGAGAGCAGAGCAATAGTTGTCAATCTTGCAAAGTGATAATTCCAAGTGTTATTTGACATTTATGTTTTTTAATTAATTTTGAGTGTCCCACAGATTTCCCCCCCTGCTAATGGAATCATATATGGAAGTTGTGGTTTAGTATGTTGTAGGAACTAGCCCATCACACTCACAATAAGCTAGTTTCTCTATAATATATTGTGTTTTGTCAATTTGAGTTTTGGGTCAAAAGGTCTGGACTGAGCCAAACTATAGTTTCTGTATGTATCGTAACGTTCAAAGGCAGATTCCCAAACAGAATGTGATCCCATTTTTTTAGTCTTCATGTGAAAGTCTTCAATTCCGATGCTATTAGTCTGAGTTAAAGAAATAATATTTAATCATTTTAAAAGACAAGTTGCTGACCCATACTTATATGGCACCTGGCTTCCTTGAAATTGGATATATTGTATTGCAATATAGGAAGGACGTTGTTCAGAACAGGTCCAAAAATCCTTCCATTTTCCAGCAGTTGTATCCATGCATAATAATCACATTAGTTATGACACTATACTTGAAGCAGTAGCTTTTCTAGTGGGTCTAATACTAGGATCTGTTTTGTGTGTGTGTGTGTATGAATGAATGAATGTGGAATGAATAATTCCAAGGACTCTGATACTGCCATTTTTTAAAAACTCACTTCTAATACCATTTATTGATTCTTCTGAGACTTCTGAGGCTCTTCAGTTTTATAGGATTCCCAGTATTTTAACACCTTTTGTGACATTTGGCGCAGCTTGGTTTGGCTTGTATGATCCCTCGCCAGATGTGAAGTTTTTTGCCACTGTTGTTAAGTGAATGATGGGTTGGGTAGATGGGACCGGCAAGAGATGGTCCCTCAGATAACCTGGTCCCAAGCCATGAATGGTCACTAAACCAGTGGTTGCAAGTTGAGGACTACCTGTATGAACAGAATAGGGCAGGGGTGTCAAACCCAAGGCCCGTGGGCTGGATCCAGCCTGCAATGTGGTCAGATCTGGCCCGCGGGGCTGTCCTGGAAAATATAAGGAGCCGGCCCGCATCACTTCAGCCCAGTCTACCCAATGCGAAGAGGAAACATCGGGCCCAGTGTGGCTTCGGCCCAGTCTACCCAGTGTAAAGAGGAAACGTGCCAGCAGTTTGGGGAGTAGTGTCAAGCTGGCCACGCCCACCCAGTCAGCCACGCCCACCCCGAGGTCAACCACTGCCCTGATGCAGGCCCTCAATGAAATTGAGTTTGACACCCCTGGAATAGGGCAATCTTCAACTGGTAATGGACTTTTTTTGGTAGCCTGGGGGTAGGAAATTGCAGTTGACCAGCAGTTTTTGTGAGTGAACCCCTGTAGCTGAGTCATTTTTTTTTTATAGCTAAGATTACTCTTTCTTTGCACAGGTACCTCTCTGCTTCCGCATGGCAGGAGGAAGAGGACATTTGCTGAGGACTCCGTTTCCAAAAGGTTGGCCAAACAAAAGGCTGTGGAATCCCAGCGGGAGCGTATGGTGAAAGCTTTGGCTGAGCTGCTTCAGAGGACCAAAGGGACCCCAGCAAGGATAGGCCGGCCAGCAACATCTGGTCCAAAAGTGCTCAGGATGCTTCCTAAGCAGACTCAAGCTGACCCAGAACCTGCTGACCCATTAAAATCCACCGCTCCTCCCCTTCTTCCACCACCACCGACAGAGAAGACTCTCAATTCCACTGCCTCACCCAGGCCACGAGGCCGGCCACGTGGCTCCTTCACAAAGAAACCAGTTAGAAGACCTCCTCACGAGAGCACCAACACTTCAACTTCCATCCCGGAGCCTAACAATAATATACAGCTTCCCTCATCGTGCGCAGAAGAAATCAGCGCGTCTTCTGAGCCGGCCGAAGCTTTGAAGAAACCACCGCTCATCCTCAAGTTCTTCTCCAAAGCCAGGCGGCATAAATCTGGCCAGTTGGTGGTGACTCACGTCCGGCTAAAGACCCATGGTCACCGGAGGGGCCGGAAGAGGAAGTGGAGCGTGGTGCCAGAAAAAAAGCTCTCCCCGCTTCCTTCGGAGGCCGTGTCCGAATCGGAAGCAGTTTTGTCAGAGCCGGATACCTCTGACCCAGAACCCAAACCGAACGAACCCCCTACTCCTCATTTGCTTTCAGAGAATCCTGCCCCCAACTCCTCCTCTCCTCAGCCCAAATCCCCAGTCTCGAAACCAGAGCCACAACTGGAGGCAGTCGTCCAGGAACTGCAGCCGGCCCCGGAGGCACCTGTCCCAGAACCGGAGGCCTCTGTCCCAGAACCAAAGTCTTCTGTACCCGAAGGCGAAGTTCTTCCTTCTCCCAACCAGGGATCTCGGAAACAGGAGCCACAGCAGCCCTCTCCGCCAAGCGATGGAGCTGCCCTCCTTTCCCAGAAGGGGCCTTCTAGGGTTGCCCTTTCTATCAGGGCACAGCGTTTGAAACGGGGTCGTGGGCGGCGCATGGCAACTCAGCCGTTGCCAGGCAAGATGAGGGAGGAGGCTGGGGGAACAGCTCAGCAGTCAGGCATCGCTGGCTCCGAAGAGGTCCCGGCTCTCAAGACCACCTTCCTCAAAAATATCCGTCAGTTCATCATGCCGGTGGTGAGTGCCCGGTCATCTCGTCTCATTCGGACCCCCCGTCGCTTCATGGATGAGATCCCGCAGAAGGCAACCAAGCTTTTGGAAAGCCCTGTCCCTGACGGGCCTTTAGACAAGCAGGAAGCTTCTTTGTTGCCGTTGCAGGGGGGCCCCCAGCAGCTGAACCCCTCGGTCCCCGGTTCTCCAGAAAAAGATACCTCCGGGGCCCCTTCCTCCCCATCTTCCCCTAGCGTGCTCCACATAACTTCCACAGCACCGGCCCTGCCTGAGAAACGGCGATCCATCCTTCGGGAACCCACATTCCGATGGACCTCACTCAGCCCCACTTTGTCCCCCAAAGATATGGGAAAGGCTCTCTTTCAGGTGCCTAGTGAAGATGCGTCTCTTGTGCCCAGTGCGCCGGCCCCCGTCCCTTCCACCCCAACCAAGCGCACTCCCTTGCTACGGGCTCCCCAGTTTACACCTAGCGAGGCGCACCTTAAGATCTACGAATCCCTCTCGGTGTCTCCCGAAGAGTCTGACTTGGTGCCGGCTTCCCCCGAGGTCAGAAGGGACCCCCCGGTGCCGCTACAAGAAGCTACCTTGCTCTCCAATGAGCCCGTGGTGACCCGCAGTGGCAAAAAGCTGGTGGGAAGGACCAACCACCTTGCTTTGCCCCTCTTCACGGAGGTTCCCAAACCCCTCGAAGCTCAGAGCAAAGAGCTCATCACCATGGAGGACGTCAATTCTCCCGGCGTGGTTCACAAGCTGGCCATCCGGAGAGTCGTGCCTCCCTCCACCCAAGTGGAGGAGCAAGAAGAGAAAGCGGCGGACAGTTCGGAGAGCGAAGCAGAACCCGCAAGCCTCTCTATGGAGGAAGCGAAGCCCCCCGTGCAGCAGCCCAAGCCCATCGTCACGTCGCTCTCCAGCATGGATAAAGTTTACAGCCTGCTGACTCGCGCCAAGGTGCAGCTGTACAAGATTGATCAACAGAAGCAATTCAAATTCATCCCGGTAAGAGAAACCCTCCAAGTTGAACGATGCAGATTTTGGAATCGAGGCAAGGGTAGGCCAGGTCCATCGGGGTAGGGGTGACAGGTGCAAGAAGTCAGGATCCAGGATAGAGGTCAAAAAGTCCCTGACTTACGACCACCATTGAGCCCCAAATTTCTGTTGCTAAGCGAGGTATTTGTTAAGTGAGTTTTGCCCCCCCCCCTTTTATGACTTTTCTGCAGTTGTTAAGTGAGTCGCTGCAGTTGTTAACTTAGTGACAAGGTTGTTCCGTGAATCTGGCTTCCCCATTGACTTTGCTTGTCAGGAAGTCGCAAAAGGGGATCGCATGACTCTGGGACACTGCAACGGTCATAAATATGAGTCAGTTGCCAAGCATGTGAATTTTGATCATGTGTCCAGGGGAATGCTGCAATAGTCATAAGTTGAAAAACAATCATAAGCCACTTTTTTCAGTGCCGTTGTAACTTTGGTCACTAAATGAACTGTTGTAAGTTGAGGACTACCCGTGCAAGTTTATTTCATGCTACCTTTGCATAAGAATCTAAACTACTAACGATCCAGGCACATTGGCACCAGATAAGAGTCAACAGACTTCAAGTAGGGCTGGATTTAGGTGTTTTAAGGGGGTGTAGAGACTCCAGACTGATGATGCATTTGACCCCGCCCTCAGGCTCAGCCTGGTTGTTTCACGCAGGGGATAGAGAGTTGTGGTTTTCAGGTTGTTGGTGGTATTTGAGCACAGCACAGAGTTCCATTTTGATACCGAACAGGTGAATTACTCTATGAATGCACCCCAGGTTAGAAGTCTTGATATTTCCATCCTCTGTTTTGGAGAATTATCAAGGGAACATTTTGCAGATCTAGCACTCAAAATGGTATAAAAGTGGTGCAGAATCCGAAGAATTGGGTTTATTGTCCCTATCTTTATTTAAGTTCTGCCCCTAGGAAAGAAATCAAAAGGTTCTGAGATATTCTGAGCAGTAAATGAGAAGAATGGGGATTGGGACAAGCGACCACCTATGGTTCGAAGGTGATAGCTACTTTGAGGCTGGGCTTATATTTTGCTCTAAAACTTTAAGACTTGTGGACTTCAAGTCCCAGAATTCCCCAGCCAGCCTCAGAACATGGCTGACTAACTTGGAAGTCCACAAGTCTTAAAGTTGGCAATGTTGGACACCCCTGCTCTACATCAGTGGTGGGTTGGCCGGATCGGGTGAACTGGTAGCGGGGGGGAGGCTCCGCCCACCCGCCTGGACGTCTCTGCACATGCGCAGAAGCGTTGAACGTGTGCGCATCCACGAGCGAACCGGTAGCGACGGGATTTGAACCCCTCTACTGCTCTACACCATAGTAGCTTGCCTTTATCAAACATGCTTAAGGTGACCAGTGCCAAAGCTAGCGGTTGCATGCACACAAATATGCCATGTATGACGACTGTCAAATCTTTTTTTAGTGGGTTTTTGTGATACCGTTTTTTTGTGACATAGCCTGAACTCTGGCCATTTGGTAAGCTTATGGTTCGGTGTGTTTTGAAAATCCTGCAATTGGATTCCTACAGTTACCAGGTTGAGTGTGCTACATGACGGAGACATGTTTTGTTTGGTTTTGGCTTGACGTTGTTGTGTGAACACAGCCCATCTGTTGTTTATTCAATTAGCCACAGCGAAGCATCGGATGGTTTAGCGTGATTTGAGCGTGCCCTTGGGACTCTGCGCGCCTGGCCATAGCTGTGCGCACCATGGGAAATGATTGGTGTATTGAGAGATTTCTGGAATGAAAGCTGCCATTGTGTTGGAAAATGGGCAGAATTGTTTGGGGAATTAAGTATCAAAGGGGAGGGGGGGTCCCAAACCATGTGGGTTATAATGCTTGCATCCTTTTCTCCTAGGGGTGTCAAAGTATCAAGGCCGAGGCCTTTGAGACTCCAAAAATCCCAGCTGAGCAAGAGACGACCGAAGACCTCAACACGACCGAAGACAAAAAAGAGGTTAGAAAACAGGTAATTTTGCAGCCATGTGGCCGTGTTCCAAATACAAAAGCATGGGAAATCTGGGCGCTGTGCTCGATAACCTAGTTATCGTGGCGCACTTCACGGTTTGTGGCTTAATACTATGCGTGAGCTCAGCCACTCACAGGCCTGCCAGCGCGACGTGGCTCAGCACGATGCATGGACCATGGCCAAACCATCAGAACGGTTTCGAAGAACCAGCTCTGCTGCTTGTCACTCATGATAACGGGTGTTCTTCCTGCACGTTCTTGACAGGGCCAGGAGTCCCCCGTGCAGGGCCCACGGATCAAGCACGTTTGTCGGCATGCCTCGGTGGCCTTAGGGCAGTCTCGTGCGATGGTGCCAGAGGATGTGCCACGCCTCAGTGCCCTGCCTTTGCGGGAGAGGGAAGAGATTGCTGGATCGCCCACCATAGAGGGTGAGTATTTGTGGAAGGGATTGGCTAACAACTCTACTTGTGCCTTCTGGACTCGCTTTGTCCCGCTGGGTAAACCTGTTTCTTGGGTAAATTGTCTATCTTAATATGTAATGCCTGCTAATGACATCATGAGGCAAAGCTTTTATTCAACCTTGGGTGGAATAAACATAGAAAAAGACTGGAACACCTACATAGGCTTTATTTAGACTGGATATACCGTATTTTTCAGAGTATAAGACGTACTGGATTATAAGACGCACCTACCTTTTTTGGTGAGGAAAACAAGAAAAAGAAATCTGCCTCTGCCTCCCAGCAATTTTGCCTCCTTGCAGCAAACAGCAAACAGCCTGCTTTACTTTCATTTTCATTTTCAGCATAGCTTGATTAGCACAAGGAAAAAAAAAATCTGGTCCAGCAATTTATCTCCTTGCAGCAAGCAGCAGAGGCCCACGCAAAACAGCTGAGAGTAAAATAGCTGAGAGTCGGGAGGCAGATCCAATCAACTTGCGCTAATTAGGCTGTGCTGAAGCTGAAAGGAACTGTTTCTTCTTGCACATTCGGTGTATAAAATGCACCTAAATTTTCGCCGCCTTTTGTGGGGGGGGGGGAAGGTGCATCTTTCGGTATCTGTTTGCTTGTTTGTCCGGAGAAGAGGAATCCTGGCTTAGTTTGAGTGGGGTGGGGGTGGATGTGGCAACAAGGGAGGAAGGAGCACTATTGAAATACATAGCTTTGGATTCCTCCGTAGGCTTACAAATCAGTGAGATGATCCCTGCAGGTAGAGGTAATGCTGATCATGTTCCAGGGCCATTTTGTTAACTTCTTAGCAACTCCCTTTTGAAGATTGAAGCGTATGCATGACAGTTTTTTTTTTGTTGAAAGTGCAATTTGAGCCTGTATTAGGAACACCTTGCAAGCATATCTGAACCATTTTTTTTTTAAAAAAAAAAAGCCAGGCTCTAAGTCTCATGGTCTTGGCTCTTAGGCCAAGCTAGTTACCTGTTATATAGGGTTCAGATGGGTGTGTGTGTGTGAGAATCTAAATGTGTGTTGCCGTGGTTTATACATGCTTCAAAGAATTTGCTTAAGCTGCATCGTCCCTGCACCTGAATGTGCAATTTCTACACTTTTGCTTTACAAGCAAAACTCTATAATAAGTAAATGCAAAAAGTCCTTTTATGGGTGTCTTATAATTCGAGTTGGACTGAAGCTTCTTCAGCCTGTTCCATCCACCGTTCCATCGTGGCACTTTTTCCTCTAAGGAAATCAGACTTCTGCTACTCCCCAGATAAGATAGAAATAACAGAGGTAGAAAGTTTTGTCTAACTCACGGGCTCCCAAATTCCTCAGCTCATTAACCCCTTCATGAAGTTTCAGATTGTTCGACTCCCAAACATTTATTATATGAAAATAATTCAATAAATACAATTTTAACTAACACTGCTAGTACTGCTACTAGTAATAAGGACTATTCAAGACCAGTCTTGCTGGCAACTGACTGTGCATCTGTGGGTAATATCTCTCACTGCTGGCTACTTCATCTTCAGGACTAGCGTGTTTGCCCAAAAATACAACCTATTCAGAAAATAAGTTCTAGCTTGATTTTTACATGTGCACCCAATATAAGCCCTACCCCAAAATAAGCCCTAATTAAGACCCCGCCCACTCCAGGGTGCAGGGGAAAAAATTAAGCTAGGGTAGGGATGGGGGGTGGTGGAGCTGCCTTACCAGGGGTGAAATGCTCCTGGTTCAGACCAGATCGCCCAATCCAATAGCGATGGCGGTGGGTGGTTCGGAGAACCGGTAGCAAAAATCCCCCCTCCCCCCCCACAATACCCAGCTGAGCCACACAATCATCAGAGGTTTTTTTTTTTTTACTTTTAAAAGCATTTTTTCTACAACCTCTTCCGACGAAAAAATGCTTTTAAAAGTAAAAAAAAAAAGCCTCTGATGATCGCGCGGCTCAGCTGGGATCGTCAGAGGCTTTTCAAAAAGCATTTTTTTCTGCAACCTCTTGGCTACAGTGGTAAAAAAATGCTTCCAAAAGTCTCTGACGATCCCAGCTGAATTGCCTGATCGTCAGAGAAGCTTTTCAAAGCATTTTTTAAAAAAGCCTTTCTGACAATCCCAACTGAGTTGCCTGATCGGCAGAGGCTTTTCAAAGCATTAGAAAAAATGCTTTGAAAAGTTTTTTTTTTTTAAAAGTTGGCCACGCCCACCCAGTCACATTACACCTCCCCCCCTCCCACCAAGCCATGCCCACAGAACCGGTAGTAACAAATTTTACATTTCACCCCTGTGCCTTACTACTTACTTTTGGACAATTGCAGCCAGCAAGGCTTTCCTGAAGGCCTCTGACAGCGAAAAGAAGGCCGGGGGCGAGGCGCACAAGTGAAGTGAGTCAGTGGATGACATCCCCCCCCCCGAAAATAAGACCTGGTAACTTTTTTGGTGGCCAAAAAAAAAAAAAAAAGTAGAAGACAGGGTCTTATTTTCAGGGAAACATGGTAGTGTGGAGATCTACAGAGACTCCAGAAGATTAATTGACCCCAATTGGCCTTCCATCATTTATCAGTTACCTCTTGACCCCAAGCCATTTATCAACCCCTTGGGTGGTCCCATTGACCCTTGAAGGCCAATCTTGAACACCTTGGGGAACCCTGATCTAACCTGTCAAGTCAGAATCGTACGTCAGCTAATCATCGTGGGTTCATTTTAGCTGCAGTCTGGAATGAAGTTCAAAGAGGCTTAAAGGATTAGGGAATTGCAGCATCGGGCGTACAGTCAGGTTAATGTTTGGACTGTTCCACAGAGACCTCGTCAGCGTCTGAGAACGAGTGTGGCCAGCAGAAACAAGTGAAGCCGGATTCCGCCGTCAAGGCTACGCCGCCCCCTGTGCGTCGCCACGTCTCTCACCATCACGGCAAAAAGAACCGAATGACTCGCTGTGGGAAGTGCAAAGGATGCCTGAGGCTCCAGGACTGCGGCGAATGCATCAACTGCCTAGACAAACCAAAATTTGGCGGGCCAAACACTAAGAAGCAATGCTGCGTGTGAGTGTGTCTGAGAAGTCCCCCAACTCCAGCTCCTTCCGTGCTTGCTGAGCATTAGAAAACAGGGCTTCAGGGTTTGATCCATAGCCGAGAAGAAAGGCTAAAATCTGTAGCTACTTGCTGGGCTTCTTCGGAGGAGAATCATAAGTCAGGGAGTCAGCAGAGAGGGGACCACAGGCATTGACATAGTAACATCTTTGCTTATTGGCTTGATTTATATCCTGCTTTTCCTCTAAAAGCTCAAAGTGGCTTATATAGTCCTCGTGCTATCAGTTTCATCCCAGCATGGACTGAGTGATGGCGACTGGCCAGAGTCACTCAGTGAGCTTCCATTAAATTGTGGGTTTTATTAGGAGATTCCCTTAACAGAGTTAATACCTAAACCAAGAGTCTCCAACCTTGGCAACTTTAAGACTTGTGCACTTCAACTCCCAGAATTCTGCTGGCTGAGGAATTCTGGGAGCTGAAGTCCACAAGTCTTAACGTTGCCAAGGTTGGATTCCCCTGCCCTAAACTTGACGGTATATTACACTTACACATTCTGAGACCCCGGTTTAAATGCCCTCTAAAGGTGCACTTAAGGTTGAGTCAGAATACTGAAATATAAGCATGGCGTGTTATATTCTCTATAAATCTGTATCACAATTAATGTGCAAGTTAAATACAAGTAGTCCTCAACTTACAACCACAATTGAGCCGAAAATTTATATTGCCAAGTGAGAAATTTTTAAAGTTAATTTGCCCCATTTTACGACTTTTCTCGCCACGTTTGTTAAGTGAATCACTGCAGTTCTTAAATTAGTAACACGGTTGTTAAGTGAACCTGGTTTCCCCATTGACTTTGCTTGTCAGAAGGTCGCAAAAAAGGGGTGACATAACTCCAGGACACTGCAACCGTCATAAATGTGAGTCAGTTGTCAAGCATCCGAATGTAAGTCACGTGACCGTGGGGATGCTGCAACGGTCGTGTGAAAAATGGTCACAAGTCAATTTTTTTCAGGGCCGTTGTAACTTTGAACGGTCACTAAATGAACTGTTGTAAGTCAAGGACTATCTGTAAATGCAAACCTCACCATGCCACACAGATTGTGATAAAGATCCCAAACTCTCAGGTTGAGTTGACTAAGTGATGGGATTCAGCCGGTTCGGGCAGGTTTGAGCGAACCGGTTGTTAAATTCCCCTCCCCTTCCAGGAGTCCTCACGCACCCCATTTTGACTCCCCAGGTAAGCGCAGGGAGGCCTACTAGGCCCAAAACGAGGCCCGGGGGGGTACAACGCCCTCCCCCCTGCAGCCCGTTTTTGTTCCCAGGAGGCTTCAGGGAGGCCTACTAGGCCCAAAATGGGGCACAGCGGGTTCCCCCCCCTCCCGGCAGCCCATTTTTGCTCTCGGGGGTGCCAGAGGCCAAGTGCTGCCTGTCACACCCCCTGGCCACGCCCACCCAGCTGATCATTAGGGCAGAGAACCAGTTGTTAAATTATTTGAATCCCACCACTGGGATAGCCCGTTTCCTTTTGTTATCTTGCATTTTTTCTACTCTCATAATTTGGCTCTGAGTAGGTAGTGTGTCACTTCTGAGTGCTCTGAAGCTGAACAGATGCCACCCTACCAGCATCTAACTCACTGCTGGAATTCCTTTCTCTCCTTCCAGGACTGTCTTACAATTTTCTACAACTGGATATTGCCTGCTGTGAGTCTTTGGACTCCTATTATTAATATGTGCGATAGGGCAGGAAGGAGAAGGTGATTAGGCAAACTCGGTAGCCTTGTTTTCTTTTTCTAGTCTCAGGAGGCTAGCCCTGATGATGTTACCGAGTTGGATAATGAAACGTCTGCAAGAAAACAACCAAGCTCAGAGAGCACCAAGGACCCCTTTGTTTTCTTATACGCACTCACACAGTCCTTAGAGTTTAGAAATATCCTGTTTTGGGGCATGATCTTCCTGGAACAGAAAAACAATAAGATTTCAATGAAAACGGCAGAAGTGTAGGACGGAGAAAATAATCCCTGAAGAAAACTCTTGGAACTCTATAGAACTAGAACCGCTCTTTTTCAATCTAGGTAACTTTAAGATGTGTGGACTTCAACTCCCAGAATTCTTCAGTCAACCTGTCTTAAGGAATTCTGGGAGCTGAAGCCAACACATCTTACAGTGGCCAAGACTGAAAACACTGCAATAGAATCTCAAGTCTTTTCCCTCATGGGACAATGCATACTTGTCAAGGAGGATGAAAATTCTTTTTCTTTTTCATAGGTGTAGTGGGGGGGAGAATAGAAATTTACAAATTGTGCAGGCAGGACATTGCATTTCCCCCAGCAGAGGTTTCATTTTAAGCATAAACCATCTTTCCCCCAACCTGGTCCTGCCAAGAGGTTGATTTTCAACTTCTACATCCAGCCAGCCAGTGGGAGGATTCAGATACCCAATACATTTGGAAAGCTTCATGTGTCCAATGTCAGGGTTCCGATGGATGCCCTAATTAAATCATGAGCGTCGAGCCAAGTTTCAAAAGAAACCCAGTTATTTATTAGGAGCTTCATGTTGGCACATTCCAAGTGAAGCCAACTCTGACCCCACATAATTTACAGCGCAGACTTGACCCTGTTTCCCCCCTCCCCCCAGGGTGTGTCATCAGTCACATTCTCCAACGGAGCAATTTCGCGGATTGTAGAGATCACTCCCCTCTGGCCGCTGTAGGTAGCCCTGGGAGACAGCCTTGAGAGAGATATGTCTGGAATGTGCTTTTGTTTTTGGCTGCCATGCTGCTTTGCCATTTTCCCATCTCCCTTGCCTATGGCAACTCGAGAGCAGGCCAGGGATGCTTTATCCAAATTATTGTGTGACACATGTGGATTTCCTAATTTTAATCGGAGTCATTGTTTTCCTGTCTTAGGACACGTAACTCTCTTGCTTCTAGCAGAGTGATGTGATAGAAAGACCAATTTTCTACTTAATTTCTCCAATGAACCCACCTTGTCCTGAGGAAGGCCTAGGGCTCTGCTGCTGGCTTTGCTTAAGGCTTGCGTCTAACCTATTACAGAATAACAGAGTTGGAAGGGACCTTGGAGGTCTTTTAGTCCAACTTCCTGCAGGAGACACTATATCATTCCAGACAAGTTGGCTGTCCAGTCTCTTCTTAAAAGGCTTATAAAGGCTTATAAAAAGCCTCTGGTCTGTATGACTTACATTTCAATGGCTGTCAAATGTGAATTCAGTTAGGGTGAGAAAAAAGGGGCTTCAGGCATCATGAGGCATCCAGAGCCCACCCACTCCGCCTGCCGTTTAAAAACATCTTTTAAAATAATTACAGGAAGTTGGCATTGCTGCCAAACAAAAAGTCAGACTCTGGCACATTTTCAGGAAGGATCCTGGTTCCCCACAAAAGGCTTACCGTGACACTAGAGAATTCAACATTTAATCAATTGGTATTTCTACTTAATAGTCCACTGTGGCAGCCATGTTACTCTTTGAGCCGTGGTTGCATAGTGGTTAGAGGGCAGTACTGCAGGCTACTTCTGCTGACTGCCGGCTGCCTGCAATTTGGCAGTTCGAATCTCACCAGGCTCAAGGTTGGACTCAGCCTTCCATCCTTCCGAGGTGGGTAAAATGAGGACCCAGATTGTTGGGGGCAATAGGCTGGCTCTGTAAACTGCTTAGAGAGGGCTATAAAGCACTGTAAAGCAGTATATAACCTAAGTCCTATTTCTATTGCTATTGTGCTCTCCTAAAGTCCAGATGTGTCCCCCTCCCAAGCTTGTGTCCTTGCTTATTTCTAAATCCCTGGGCTGAAGAGTCTGTTGGAGGTAGTTTTTCTTTTTTCCTCTACTCTGACAATGTATGTCTGGCTGACAGGTATCGGAAGTGCGACAAGATTGAAGCACGGCGAGTGGAACGGCTGTCTAAGAAAGGTAACAGTTGAGTGATTGAACATGGCTGGACTAATGTGCTCCTGTGACTTGGTTGCGTGATCATGTGTGGTCCCTTCTCTGTGTGTGTCTTTGGTTTTCCTGTTAGATATTCTATGACCACCTAGTCAGGGGCATATATCTTTTTTTTTTTTTTTGGAATATTTGTATACCTTTGTATAACCATACTAGCTAAAGTCCAGCCCATACCAAAGGGCTGGAATTCTGCACTGAATGTCCAAACTTGGATGGCGAGCACTGATTTCTCCATTATGCCGGAATGAATAATAACGTTTGATGCTTCACATCCCAAGTGCCTGTGTTTAGACAGGCTTTTTAATGTTCTAGTAGTTTTGCCTTTGAAAAGTTTTGTATAAGTCCAAAGCTAATGTTTCTACTGTCTTTAATTGTAGCTTTTTGCAATTGTGTGTTTTTGATACACTTTCATTGTTTCCTCGATTCGGCTTTGTTTGTTTTATCTACCTTCCTGTTAAACCACACGGGGCGTAAATGTTTGTGGGAAAGGCGGGTTGACCAATGGAAATGACCATTGCTAATGACTCACTTTGTATATTGGGGGGTTTCTATTTTACAACCTGTGCAGATTGAACATATTAAATTGTAACACGGCACGATTTTGTGAAGAAGTTGAAATGTGGTATGTAAACCGTCAGGGATGGGGAAGAAGCATTAAGTCCTATGAGACAAATAAAGGAAGGGTCCAAGTTGGGGGGGGGGGAGCATGTAGTATTCTTTGGAAGAAATGGTACCTCCCTTAAGAAAAGCTCATTTCCTTGGACCACAGAATCCTTCCCTTTTGGGGCTGTGGGAGGAACACATTCCTCTTTATGGTACGTTTCTGTGCTGCAGTTCCCTACATATTTGTTGAAAATACATGCTTGTTGTAGAATATTATCAACAAGCCCCCAAAGGTGACTAGCCCGCTCTTAAGGTTGAGGGCTTTCAAGGTGTTTTGTACTGGTCACAGAAGAGGTGAAACCAATATGAAAACCAAGCGAAGTCGGCAGAGAAGGAACTCAAAGTCATGTCCTCTCCTGCCAGCCCAGTCAGTCACCTTGGATGACCAAGGCAGTTATTAAATATCAAGGTCATCAAGTGAAGGTGAGCTCCTGAGGATCTGTGTACAGAATTTATGCCAGAAACCAAATCATGCATTATGTGGCTTGATGATAAACATACAGAACATCAGATGTCCCACTTGGGAGGATCCAAACTCATCTTCTGCCCTCCCCCCCCCCCCAGGATACTGCTGTGCTGCTATTGAACAATGTCTGCTCACTCACACTCCCCGGGGCCTTTTTCATGTTTCTTGGAGCAAAGTCTGTTTCATGAAGAGTAGTTTCCAGAGAATCTTTAAATAAATAAATTTCTATTGCAGTTTGCTTCAAGAATATTGAGGTGGGGGGGGGGGGGTAGAGGCCCTATCGAGTTAGGATGATTTAATATTGGGCTCCTTTGTGCAGTTAGGCCTCAACACTTTAGAAACAACTCATTACTGTTGTGACTTGGCCTCTAATTTTGCTTTTTATTTCTCGATGAACATTGCAGTCGGTTTAGCTTTGTAGGCTGTCCAGATCCAAAGATCTGAGGCCAGAGAGCTGACCTGTTCTTGGCTCAAAGGTGGGGTTTTTTTTCCAAGTGGCAACTGAACTTCCTTTATTTTTCCTTGAAGGCGTTTCGCTTCTCATCCAAGAAGCTTCTTCAGCTCTGAACTGAAGAAGCTTCTTGGATGAGAAGCAAAATGCCCTCAAGGAAAAACCAAAGTCAAGTCCAGCTGCCCCTTGAAAAAGCACCTTTGGGACAGACATGACCTGGATGACTAAGAACCTTCATAGACGTAGACCTATTTCTTAAGATTTTTGCTTTCTGAAAAAAAACGTGCTTGATTGCACACAAGCTTTATATTAAAATGAAAATAAATTCCAAAGACCTGCTCTACCTCCACAGTCACAGTTGATCTTTTCACCAAGGAAACACTTTCATATCAGGTCAGACTTTTTGACCCTCATGTCTTTGGGCTGTCAGCAGCTCTCTGATGGCCAGCCTAGCCTTTCCCCTCTCCTGCTGTTTCCCTCTGGAGCTGCCAAAAATTATATTAGGAACTTTCTACAAAGCATGACCTCTTTATCACTGAGTAGTTGCCCACTCTTGAGTGGATGCTAACTGGTCCATTGACCTGGTTGAACGTATTCCCAGCTCTGTATCTTGTTTCTTCTTAATGTGTATTGTCCGTAGCCATTACACTGAATTGTGCTTGTTTCCCCCTAGAATGTGCTGTTCCTTTCACTCCCCTTGTTTCATGCTGTGACAAATACACCTAAGCCCTGAATCATGAACTATTGGTACCTGTTTGAAATTTGAAATACTGTTCCATCTAGTTGACAATCTTGGGCAGGCTGTCTTTCACTAATTCCATGAAACCTGAGATTGGTGCCCCAAGGTTTCCCATCCGGTCCTTCTTCCAAATGCTAACCAGGGTCGGTCCTGCTTAGCTTAAGGAAGATGGCTCCATCACACAACCTCCAGGCCACGTCTTCGATCCTGGGGACAGAAGCTCCTTACCGTTTTCTCTGGAGATACATATTTGGTTTCACGGAAATATAGCCATGAAAGGGAATGTAATTTAAAGAGATACCCTGTTTAGGTCATTGTCTCCTGCCCCAAAGCTATTTAAAACAGGCCCTTTGGCCTCAGATTTTTTTTCCTCCTAGCACCATTTCTCCAGTCACCTGTGTCCCCAATGAAAGAAATATGATACTCATCTTGGTCTTTTGTTTCCTCAAGCGAGGGATTCCAAAAACAAAAATATTTGGCAAACCCCCGGGCTGTTCTTCTGCTGCCCTTCCAATGGGAACGTGGAAATCTGATCTGCTGCAATTTTAAGTTTTCATTATTGGTGAGGATATAAGCGCTTCTATGATATTGCCAAACGGTGCAGATTTTCTACCGCTGACATTAGCCGTGCGTCCATCTTGACCCTCTCTTGCCCTTCAGAGTTCAGTTTTTTGTAGGCTCCTGTCATATGGAAACATTTACCCTCTTAAAGCGACTATTAAAATGCTATCTAACCTTTATATCCTGCTTTCCAGTGTTCTAATTGCTCTTAAGATGCCTCACGCTCTACTAATCCTTAAAAACGGCCTTGGGAAATGGGATATGTGGTGCTCTCTGTCCTGCACATGCGTGTTGGGGTTGCTGAGGCTCGCAGCGGGAAAACTTCCCTAAAGTCACCTTGAAAGTAAGACCATCCTGAGTCATAGCCTAGAATAGGCGGTCTAAATATAAGAGCTCGGTTTAAACCCAAGTTCCTTGATTTGGGGTGGACGTGAAAGAAAAAAAGTCACGCCAATCGGTGGGCTGAATTGGTCCCTTAGTCCTGATATTCCCACTTCCTGTTATCCACTGCAGTTTTCCCCCTAACCTGTGGCCGCCTCAGATGTCTCGATCCTGGCTTCCATCACAGTTGAACAGGCTTGGGACCTGCAGAGGTTGATGCATTGATTACTGGAACGAAGCGTGTGGGAGTGGCTTAGTTCTATGAACATGCGCGAAGTCCGAGTTTACAGCACACCTTTGACCTTCGTACCAAATTAACCCATTTCCTTGGCTCATACAATACGTCGAAGCCTATGCTAAGGACAAATGGAGCTAGGTTTGCACAAAATGCTAACCCAACAACAACAACAACAACAATAACAAAAAGTACCAAATGGGAAAACTAAATAAACTTTGCTTACTGGGCCAGTGAAACTACTAACTGGCCTGAATAAGCAGGTTGTTCGGACATAGGTTGCCTCTGAGCCCAGGAATTGGGGACGGCTCTCAAACCAAGCTCACACCACTCTCCGCTTTCACAATAAAACATCCGGAAGGTTAGAAGCAACCAAGTTTTTGTGATGCAGTTCTTGGAACAACATAAGTAGGAAACCTTTGCTGTTCAACGAGCAGATACCTAGTCCTCCTGCTTATCCTTAATTAACGCTATAACCCAGCCTAGCTGAAATTACCCATGCTTGCTGCTTGCTTATAAACCCATGTCTTCCTTCTCCCTCTGTTGTTTCCCCCTGGTGCTTAAGCTTTAGATCAGACGTCTTCAAATTTGGCAGCTTTTAAGACTTGTGGGCTTCAACTCCCATTCAATTCTGGGAGTTGAAGTCCACAAGTCTTAAAAGCTGCCAAGTTTGGGGACCCCTGTTTTAGATGCTTCTCAACCTTGGCGGCTTGAAAGGTTTGAGGACTTCAACTCCCAGAATTCTCAGAACCCTGGGAGTTGGAAGTCCACACAACTAGGCTGAGAATCCTAGCTTAAAACTTCGACCATCTGTAAGTACCGCTTTAAATGCTCTTTTGGAAGGAGTCTCAGGCAGCAATTTGCCTCATTCTCTCTCCTCTCCTCCCCTCCCACCCACCCCCACACTTTTCAATGCTCTGGAAGAAACCCCGCCTTTAAAAGTAGACTGTAGCCTTCCCCAATTTGGCATCATTCAGAGACTGGCTGGGGAATTCTGGGAATTGCAGCCTTAAGTACCTCTGGAGGCCCCCAAGTGGAAAAAGGCCCTTGTTAGGCGGAGGGGAATGCTGTAGGTTTGTTAAAGACTGGGATGGGTGGAGCCATGGATACCATAGATAATGCTGGAACCATGGGAGGGGGTGGAGGTCCTCTCTTTCTTTTTTCGGATTATGGGGAGGAAATGGGCAGGTACTAGGAAGGGGCTGGGCTGGGGAGGCCATTGTGATCTGAGGGGGCATGACCAGAGGAGAGCCTGCATGCCTATGAGAATGCCCTCCCTTGCTGTGCAGACTGAAGAAACCTTGCTTATGTGAGCAGAGAAATCTGGGAAAGGAGGCTGAAGGTGGGGAGGTGGCACAAGGAGTGGGGTGGGGGGGAGAGGACCTCTTGCTTGTTCTGCTCTTGGGGTGGGGAGAGAATTGGGGCTCAGATTCCTGACTTCTTCCGCTCAGTTCTGAGGGTGGCTTGGGAGAAATGCTATAGAAGGTGCAGCCTCATTTTGGGGAATTTCTTTGGAGCTGCTGAATCTTTTTTTTTTCAGCTTCCACAAAGGGAGCAGAGGCAGGAAGCTTTGGCCTTCCGCCTCCCCCCCCCCCTTCCTTTGAGTTTCCAATTCATTTGTACTTCTGAACCAATTAATTAACAATGGGAGAAGCACACACACAAAAAACCCTCTTAATGGTACCTTCAAGGGGGGGGAGGGGTTGGGATCAGAGCCTTCATTTCGCTTCATCTGCATATGAGAAAGTAGACAATGAACTGCTAGAAAGGAAGAACATTGCTCCTTGGGTTTGCTGTAGCAAAGGAGAATTACAATCCATTGCAGGTTTTATTTTTTTACCTCTTGAGTAAAATCCATAGTGCCTGACTAAAGTTGGATCTACATAGGAGCTGAGAGCCTTGAGCCAAGGTCCTCAGTGTGATAGGAACAATGACCTAGGTAGTAATCTGGGCTTCTGAAATCCCATCTACTTTTTCTCCCTCTTATCTCTCTGCTCCTGGCTGTAGAATGCTTAAATCTCTTTTGTATTGGAAATGAGAAAGTAAAGAGGAGGAACCTTTATCAGCCTTTTAGATAGGAAGACTGGGGGGTGGCGGGGAGGAGTTGCCTTAAACAGCATTTCCCTCAGGGATGGGTAGTGATTGTAAACCTAGATTGCTGACAGGAGAGAGGGGGAGATTAAAGCATTGCCATCATAGATGGAAGATGAGCTGTAGCTAAGGTAAGTGAGCTCATGAAGACTTGGTCATGGGAAGGGGAGACCCTTAGATGGGTCAGTGGCTAAGCAAAGAGCCACAGCCAACACAAAATGTTTTGGGTTGGGGCTTCTTCCACAAGGCAGGTCAGAGTTACCATCTCTCACCAGTACTAAATCTGGGCTGCTAAAACCCAAATGCCCTTCTGGTCACAGCAAAGAGATACAGAAATATTCTTTTGGCAACTCGAGATCCTTTCTTGGCCCTTGTCAGTCCTCCAGCGCTGAGCAGTAGGTTGAGCTTGAAAGTGGATGCTGCTGGTAGAACCACCTAACTTGAGCAGGAGAAGCTTTTGAATTTTGGGTCTGGTCAAGACGTTCAGAGCGTGTTGGGACTGCAGTCAACTGCACTAAGTAACATGCCTAATAAGTTCAAGGGCTTGCATTCATTTTTTCTCTCCCACCTCCCCACCCCTCATGATGCATTTATAACAAGTCTTGGGGAGAGTGCAACGGGGGCTGGAGGAAAGGGGAGGAAATGGTCCTTCTGCCCAACATCCATTTGCCGTTAGAGTTGGGCTGCCGGGCTCCGCTCACCCATGCCTTTGTCTTCAGGCCGTACAGTAGTGAAGCCCATCGTCCCCTGGGATTCAGAGGATTCTCAAGAGGAGTTTCCAGCCCCCTGGGAAGTCATGCTGGGGGCCACAGAGACTGCTGAGCAAGACTCTCTGTTGCAGCGTAAGTCAGCCCGGCGCTGCGTCAAGCAGAGGCCCTCATATGACATCTTTGAATCCTCTGACTCAGACACAGAGCCGGCCTCTGGCTCAGCCACTCATCGCCGGAAATCTTCCCGAGACTCAGGTGAGCTGTGAGCTTTCGGGTTGCTTGGTCCATGATTTCCACACACAGAGATTGTGCCCCCTGCCATGCCTATCCGTACCTTCCATCTACGCCAGTTGCACAAAGCAATAAGATCTCGCATATACTGTATCTGAAGCTGTGGCTGTGGTTATTGGTGTGCCCATCATGGTCACAATTTTCTTTTTAAGAGGAAGCTCTTGATGGGATGACCAAAAAAAAATACACATGGGACCTGAGAGGTGGTCTCATTTTGGTCTGATGTGATGTTACAGCAAGCCAGAAATTTTTGATGCTCAGTGATAAGATAATCCAGTAGATTCTGATATATTGTTGATTTATAGCTTCTCTGAGGTAAAAATTAGCAGATTTACCATGCTTTGTGCTTTCAAGGTGAAGAATAAAGTAGCTTCTCTATCCTGTTTGAGTCTGATGCAAAGAAAATATGCTTTTAAGATGCTCGTATGTTTCCAGATTTGCTTCCCGTGGACTCTGAGGAGCAAAGTCGGCCCCGTAAAAGTTCTTTGCAGCCTGTGGTGCAGCTGAAAGCCAGGAAGAAACCAGAGAAGGTGAGCCATCAAGAAAAGGTGAGAGAGGCAAAGATGCACATCTGGGCAAGGTTTTATTGTTGTTTGTATCGTAACTCAGGAGGATGCACAGTGCCCATCAGGGACTTCAAGGAATCCACTGTGCATTGTGTTCTTTAAGTAGGATATGAGCCAAACGGCAAGTTCACCAAGATTCATTTCCCTTGTAGCAAAATATGCCGATTTTTCCTTCATCCTTCCTTACCCTCCCCCATATTTATTTCTTCTCTCATCATATTCTAATACCAGCATTGTGTATCCCACAGGCAACCGCAGTAAACGTCTCAGAATATTCTGTTAATCTGCCGTTATCTTTCCTTCTTTCCTCTGTCCTTCGCAGGACATCCCTCCTTCTGCCTCACTCCCCTCCATCTCCAATGGCTGGAATGGGAAACAGAAATCCACGGATGGAGTCCACCGTCTCAGGGTTGATTTCAAGGTGAGGCAGGAACATCTGTCTCACAGACACCCAGTTGAAAGAATGCCATATGCAGCGAAGTCATGTTGGCAATTGCTAGACTCCAAAGCGTATTCCCTGGTGGAACAAAATCTCAGTTGGCACTTATTCCTAAATCTGTTATTTACAGCTTCATGCCTATTAAACCCAAGTGGCTCTATAGATGTTATTGAACCAGACCCAAACAATTTTGGTCTAGGCTCCTGCAGCATGCTATGCACAGGGCTACCCTAAAAGATGGTTCTGCAGCTTCAGCAGGTACAAGGTTTGGATGCTGATCTATGTACCAGTGCACAGTTTTGTAAGCTTGTTTGTCCAACATGAAAGGATATGTGATGGTTCTTACTTGTTTTTATGACTCGGTATAAGATGTTCATTTTAGCTTTAATTTTTTGAATAGATTCTGATCTCTAAATCTAAGTTCCTAATTAGTCTTTGTTAAGTGCACAGGAGGATTTTTCTTGTGTCGTTCCCAAACTGCAGTACAATTCATGCTGATTGGTCCCCTCCCTCTCACCCCCTCTCTTTCTCCTTCCCTCCCTCCCTCCTTCCAAGTTGTGAATGCTCCAATATTGGAAGTTTTTAAGAAGATGATGGATAACCATTTGTCTGAAGTGGTGTGGGGTTTCCTGCCTAAGCAGGGGGTTGGACTAGAAGACCTCCAAGGTCCCTTCCAACTCTGTTATTCTACTCTATTCCTTCCCTCCTTCCTTCTCTCCCTCCCTCCCACACTTCCTTCCTTCCTAATTTCTTTCTTAATTTCTTTCTTTCTCTCTCCTCTTCTTCCGTCTGTCTGTCTGTCTGTCTCTCTCTGTCATTGTCATCAGAAGAAGGTATACCTTACCTAGTACAAAGTTACCTTTGTAAATTTTGTAAGATTTGTAAATTCCCTTTCAGTTCACTGATTTAGTGCGTGTGGCTCTGTAGCTTTTAGAGCAAACTGTTTCCCTCACTTGTGTGCCCTATAGGAAGACTGTGACTTGGAGAACGTCTGGCTGATGGGCGGTCTCAGCATCCTCACTTCAGTACCAGTCACCACGCAGGTGGTATGCCTGCTCTGCGCAAGCAAAGGTTTCCATCAGGTGGGTCCGAGGAGCTGAGAAATACCGAAAGGTGGGGATGTGAGTTCCCCTAGGCAGGAATTTGAGGAAGGGGTTTACTTCCCGTTTGGAATCGGTAAGGTGGAAGTTGCATAGCGGGGTCCTTTTACCCTCAGAATTGGGTGGGATTTGGGGATTCAAAAAGGACTCCTGTGGCCTGTTTTCATGGAGGTAGGATGGCTAACATGACTGCTGCCTGTTCTTCAGCTTGTGTACTGCCAGGTATGTTGTGATCCTTTCCATGTCTTCTGCCTGGAGGAGGATGAACAGCCACTGCCCGAGCAGGAGGACAGCTGGTGTTGTCGCCGTTGCAAGTTCTGTTATGTCTGTGACCGCAAAAACAAAGCATCCAAGGTAAGGAAGTGTGTGTGTGTGTGTGTGTGTGTGTGTGTAATATCTTGGCCTGTATGCCCCTTCTGCTAACAGCAAAATAGCTATCCATCATTGCATCACCCAACAGCTCTTTTCTAAGTGGGGCATGAGGAGTCAGCATTCTGGAAACGGCAGTGCTCTTCGCTTTTTTCAAGCTCATGGAAAGAGGATTTGAAGGGTCAGGAAAGTGACATTTAATCAATTGCTCCTTGGTCTTTATCTCCAGTTTCAGGATTAATGGGGAGAGAGTTTGCAGGGCATCATTCCCCTTCTTTAAGCCCAGACTCGGGAAACGTAACCAAAAACGGGCATATGTAGCAATAGCAGAAGTGGCAATAAACTGAGGTTTCAAGAACACCATAATCCCATCCTCCTTTGGCTTCCTCTTTTGCGCCCAAAACCCTTCCTTCCTTCCTTTCTTCCTTTTTTACGAATGTGCGCTCTCTCTCTCTCTTCTTTTTCTAGAGCCATCGTCCTATTATTTTCTTAACTCTTGATTTCCTTAACATGAGTAGTCCATGTCCCAAATGGCTTCACTGGTTCCCTTTTAGCTGATTTGAATCTTGATTTGTCTCCCTGGTGCTCTCCTCCGCCCCCTTCTCTCTCACCCATAAAAAAAGTAACTTCTTTAGTATTTATATTCCATTTCTCTGGCTTGGTTCTGACCTAGGCTCCCTTAAGAAGCAGGAAGCAGGAATTGGTCCCGGCAAAACCTCTTTTATTTTTCACGACTGTGAATTACTTTCATTCACAGTCAGCAACGCTTGTCCAAACTGTTTTTCAAAGGAATATTTATCAACATACCTTATCTCGTTTGGCAAGCTGCCACGTAACTTGTTTCCAAATGCAGAGTAAGGCAAAACTTGGCACAGAGTGTCTTAGAGTCACGAACAGAACTTTTCACTCTTGAAACTACCGAACAAATGAATTGCTTCCTGCAAAAGCCTCCTCCCTGTTCGCTCCTCTTTTGTTTCCTATGGGAGGGGCCAATCATCTCCAAAGTGTGGCTTTACTCCCAAGTTGACCTTGCTCTTGTCTTCTGGCAGCTCTGCGCATGCGCACATTGTGAACGGGCTCCAGCTGTTCCTCTGCCTCACTGCTGTCTATCTCCCTCTCTGCTTCCAACGCAGAGCCCTCATCCGAGCTTTCCCCAGCCTCCAGGACTGGCCCAAGTTCCTCCCCAACCTCCTCACTGTCTGCCTCTGCTGCCAGCTCAGCTGGCTGCCGGCGGGCTACAATGGACTTTTGTGTGCTTAGGACAGCGAACAGTTGATCAAATGCTGTATTTCAGATCGCTCCCTCACTGTGTCTCAAGACTTTATGGGTTTTTTGTTGCCCTATCCCAGTGTTTCTCAACCTTTGGCTTCTTTAAGATGATGGCTGGAGGATTCTGGGAGTTGAAGTCTACCTACTTTAAAATGGCCAACATTGGAAAAACGTCGTCTGTGCCTTTGATTCCTACCATCTCGGGTCCTTTCAGCGTCCGCCAAATTGTAACTTCAGTCAGGCTGGCAATGATCCCATCTCATCTCCCTGCACATGTTTGCGGCATGTTCTCGGCTGCCACCGTTGTCATCCAATAACCCATTCAGAGTTTGTAGCAACATAGAAGCCCAGTAAATAAACCAAGCACATTGGAGGTTGATTTGCAGTGCCAGAAGCACAATAACTGATGTTACAGTTAGTCCTCGACTTACAACCTTTCGTTTAGTGACCTTTCAAAGTTAACAGCGGCATTGAAAAAAAAAAGATTTATGACCATTTTCCCACACTTAACGGCCGAGGCAGCATCCCCATGGTCACATGATCAAAATCCAGACACTTGGCAATCAACATGTATGTATGATGGTTGCAGTGTCCTGATGTCACGTGATCTCCTTTTGCAACCTTCTGACAAGCAGTCGATGGGGAAGCCACATTCACTTAAGAACTTGGTAGTACAGTGGTTTAAAGCACCCTGTTATTAACACAGCTGCCTGCAATTACTGCAGGTTCGAATCTTGCCAGGCTCAAGGTTGACTCAGCCTTCCATCCTTTCTAAGGTAGGTAAATTGAGGACCCAGTTTGTGGGGGCAATAAGCTGACTTTGTATAAAATATACAAAAGTATGAAGGCTATTGCTTAACGCATTGCAAGCCGCCCTGAGTCTCCGGAGAAGGGCGGCATATAAATCAAATTAAAAAACAAACAAAACTGTGTTATTTACTTAACAACTGTGGCAAGAAAGGCCGTGAAATGAGGCAAAACTCACTTAACAAATGTGTCGCTTAGCGACAGAAATTTGGAGATCCATTGTGGCCGTAAGTCAAGGACTACCAGTAAACAGCCAAAGGATTCTCAACTGGAGAGAGATATTTCTGCAAGTTTCTTTTTTAATCAAAACATACAGGAAAAACAATCAGAAGTAAGGGAAGGGTGTTAAATGAGCAAAAAACCAGCAGTATTACAGCTGTGCATGAAATAGGGGAATGAAGGTGCCAATTTGAACAAAAGGCAGGTGGATTCAATAATGCCCACAGCATGGCAGGTCGGATAGGCATTTGAGTAGAAGATGGAGATACATCCTTATAAATATGAGCCAGCAGTTTACTGCAGCTGCCAAAAAAGCCAACACAGTTCTAGGCTGCATAAACAGAGGGATGGAATCAAGATCACGTGAAGTGTTAATACCACTTTATAATGCCTTGGTAAGGCCACACTTGGAATATTGCATTTAGTTTTGGTTGCCACGATGTAGAAAAGATGTTGAGACTCTAGAAAGAGTGCAGAGAAGAGCAACCAAGATGATTAGGGGACTGGAGGCTAAAACATATAAAGAACGGTTGATGGAACTGGATATGTCTAGTTTGATGAAAAGAAGGACTAGGGGAGACATGATAGCAGTCTTCCAATATCTCAGGGGCTGCCACAAAGAAGAGGGAGTCAAGCTATTCTCCAAAGCACGTAGGACAAGAAGCAATGGGTGGAAACTAATCAAGGAGAGAAGCAACTTAGAACTAAGGAGAAATTTCCTGACAGAACAATTAATTAGTGGAACGACTTGCCTCCAGAAGCTGTAAATGCTCCAACACTGGAAGTTTTTAAGAAGAGATTGGATAACCATTTGTCTGAAGTGGTGTAGGGTTTCCTGCCTAAGCAGGGGGTTGGACTAGAAGATCTCCGAGGTCCCTTCCAACTCTGTTATTCTATTCTGTAAACTAAGATTTAACATTTTTTAAAGAAGAATTCTAAGGATCTGGTTTTCTTAACATAGTTTGTATGTTTAGCTCCCTGCTTTGTTTTCCTCTGTGCATTTTTGCATTTCTGATCAGAGTTCTCCTTTAGGAGATGTGAAGGGTTCCAAATACAGGGGTAGCAGCTCGACTTTTCACGCCCCCTTACTCCCTTTCTCTCTTTCTTCTATAACCCGTGACAGCAACTGCTGGAGTGTGAGCGCTGCAGGAACTGTTATCACTTGGCCTGTCTTGGCCCCAACTATCCCACCAAACCATTCCGTAAGAGGAAGGGCTGGGTAAGTAGAAAACGTAGGGCGGTGTTTCTCAACCTCTGCCACTTTTAAGGTTTGTGGACTTTCAACTCCCAGAATTCCCCAGCCCACTATGCTGGCTGACTTTCAGTTCTGGGAGTTGAACTCCACATATCTTAAAATTAAGTTGCCAAGGTTGAGAAACACTAGAGTAGAGGATGAGAATGAGTCAACTCTACAACCTTTATACTGCATGCTTAACTGTCCCTATATTGCAACTGTGGAATCCTTTGCTTTCTACTTCTTTTCAGATCTGTTCTGCCTGCATCCGCTGCAAAAGCTGTGGGACAGCGCCAGGGAAGAACTGGGACACGGAATGGTCCAGCGATTACAGTCTCTGCTCTGCCTGCTCTGTGCTGTACAATAAAGGTGAGCTCAGTAAAAATCCTCTGAAAAGTTTCCAAAATTTCCATTATAGCCACAGCACTTAGACTTATATACCGCTTCACAATACTTTGTACAGCCCTCTCTAAAAGCAGTTTACAGAGTCAGCCTATTGCCCCCAACAATCATTTTATCGATCTCGGAAGGATGGAAGGCTGAGTCTACCTTGAGCCGGTCAGGATCGAACTCTTGGCAGTGGGCAGAGTTAGCTTGCAATACTGCACTTTAACCACTGCGCCACTATGGCTCATAATCGTTATCAATCGAACGCTTAGCAAATGGTTCAATACAAGGACATATGTTTAATCAATGTATGGACCATTAGTCTCTGGTGCCAGCCCATCCTTTTAACCATTACCCCATACTCACTGTCCAAGGTAGTTCTTGCCTATGCATTACCTGTATTTTTACAGAGGTATAGATTACTCCTACCAGTTTTCCCCCATAGGAACAGCCTTGTAAGGTAGGTTGGGCTGAGAGTGAAAGGCTGCGCCGTAGACTTGAACCTGAATGATGTAACTTCAGAGAGATTAAAATATATCTGTGTTTACAACTGCTGTGAAGAATATTGGAAGCCGCTTTTTATATCTTTTTTTTTTTCTTCACCTTTTTTTCTAGCAGTTTTTGCTTTTTTTTTCTTTCCTTGATTTATTTCTTTTTCTTTTTTTCCTTACTTTATATTATTTTGTATTGGTTTTTAATCTGCTCGTTTAAATGTTTCAATGACCAATATATGTATAAAAAAAAGAATAGACTTCGAGCTCGGTCTCCTCAGTTCTAGCCCACATTTTCTCCATTCCACCAGACTAGCTATTTAAAAAATGGTTTAATTTTTCAATCTTTTAGGCATCTTAGTTTTGTTCTCTTCCTACACTGAGGCACAGTTATAATTCTGCTTTATGGCCAACAGCTTCTGTTCTGTTTTTATAGGTGTTTCAGTTTTTTGTTAACTGAATATTATTTGGATACTGAAGTACAGGGCATCAGTGGAGCAAACACTGAAATCTTAACATTTGTTTGAAAAGCTGGAGGGGTTTCATCGTATCTCTTCATGCGGTCTCTCTTCCTCCTGCAGGGAACTACTGCCCAATTTGCTTGCACTGTTACGAAGACAATGACTATGAGAGCAAGATGATGCAGTGTGCCAAGTGTGATCACTGGGTTCATGCCAAGTGCGAGGGACTTTCAGGTTTGTTTTTCTGGAGCAACATGGTTTAGTTCAGGAGGCTAACTAGGGACAAGCATTTTTGTTGTCCATCCACATTTTGAAGGTAACTGTTCTGCCCCAGCTACGGACCCCAAAGAACGCAGTACACACAAAGTCTGTACGAAACTTAATTTACTAAAATAACTCAGTCTTTTTCAAACAAAGGCTGTTAATAAACTTTCTTAACAGCCTACAAGAATCCTAAGATAAGGTAATCACAATCTTACTAGAGTTGGCAGAAAGCCCAGAAGCAATTTTGCAGAGAATCCAAACGCGAAGGAGAGTGAACTAAAGTTGTTCCCTACAGCTTGCTGCAATCGGCGTTCCTCCTTAAATAGGCTAAGGGAGTAGCCAATTAGCCCCAAGCCTTACTCTCGAGGAGACCTCCTCCTGAGGAGCCACTCCTGTCTTGGCAGCTCTGCGCGTCCGTGCATTGAGAAGAGGCTCCCCCTCTTCGTCCTCTTCACTTAAAGGAGCTTCTGCAGGTTCTGAAGGCCCAGGCTGAATCCCTGCCTCTGGCACCACATCTTCTCCAGCCTCCTCACTGTCCGACTCGAGCGCCAGCTGCACAGGCTGCTGGCGCAGCACCACACCAGCCTCCTCGTTGTCGGAATCAGCTACAATCTGCACAGGCCGCTGACGGGCCACAACAGTAACTAGAGCTAGGCCTAAGAAGATGGATCTCATTGTTGTTACATCAAAATCTCTTCCAGAGTGGCTTCACACATTACACTATTACAGGGGTGTCAAATTCAAGGCCCGTGGGCCGGATCCAGCCTGCAATGCGGTTGGATCCGGCCCATGGGGCCATCCTGGTCTACCCATTGCGAAGAGGAAAGATCGGGCCAGCATGGGTTCAGCCTGGTTTATCCAAAGCGAAGAGGAAACATGCCAGCAGTTTGGGGAGTGGCCTCAAGCTGGCCACGCCCACCCAGTCGCTGTGCCACACACTCCCTCCCCTTTGAGGTCAACCACAGCCCTGATGCGGCCCTCAATGAAATTGAGTTTGACACCCCTGCACTATTATTTCAACCAGGGTATTCAACAAGTAGGTTAGATCAGGCAGCATAAATGATCATTTTCAAAATCACCGTTAATTTTAGACATTGCACGAAACTTAGCATAAAATCTGAATCCAGATATTGTAGGTAGTCCTCAACCTACGACCACAATTGAGCCCAAAATTTCTGTTGTTAAGCGAGACATTTGTTAAGCGAGTCTTTACGACCTTTCTTGCCATACTTGTTAAGTGAATCACTGCAGTGGATAAGTCAGTCACATAGTTGTTAAGTGAAGCTGGCTTCCCCATTGACTTTGCTTGTCAGAAGGTCGCAAAAAGGGAATCGCATGACTTTGGGACACTGCAAGAGCCATAAATATGAAGCCGTCGCCAAGCATCTGAATTTTGATCACATGGGGATGCTGCAACGATCTTAACTGAAAAACGGTCATAAGTCACGTTTTTTGATGCCGTTGCAACTTTGAACGGTCACTAAATGAAATGTTGTAAGTCGAGGACTACCCGTATGTGTACGGAAAACCGTCAGTGGTATCAGAAGAGTTGCAGCAGGGGTTATTTTGTTTTCTTTTAGAATTGCGTGTCCTGTGCGGTGTTTTCCCCTTTCTTTGTGTGGGGGTTTCCCCAGCTGGATTTCGTATTGCATAAATGCAGCTTAGTAAGGCAAGCCATTGCAAGAAGACCTGAGGGGAAAAAAAATGGGAGTGTCAATCAGCCTAGGAATGAACATGAGAGATGTCCTCCTTTCCTGTCTCTTCCAGACGAGGGCTATGAGATCTTGTCTAACTTGCCGGAGAGCGTGGTATACGCATGCCGACCCTGCTGTGGCAGCGATAAGACCAAGTGGCGAGAGGTCCTTAACTCAGAGCTGCGCAAGGGACTGCGGCAAGTGTTGCAAGGGTTGCTAAGCTCCAAGTGCGTGGCGCCACTGATGCAGTGTGCACAGGTATGGTTTCTGGGGCATCCGTGTGGGAGCACCTCTTCTCTCTTTTCCTCGCTTTCTTTCCCCAACAAAATTTCTTTTGGTGACCCAATGCACTGTCTGCCAATTAGTTAGGCAGACGTTCTCCCAGGGATTGGGCTAGGGAAGTTAGAGCCCTTGTGAGTGTACCGGGGTGGGCTGCTGGGGGTTCGCAGGGGTTCGGGAGAACCTCTAGCTAAGATTCTGTGCAGTTCAGAGAACCCCCAAATCCCACTCCTGGCTGGACTCTGCAGCTAGCTCTGCTGGCAGCTGATGGGCCATAACACTTGTCCTAGGACAGTGATGGCGAACCTTTTCGGCACCGAGTGCTGAAAAGGGAGCACGCACGGGCTTGTCTGAGCCACAACCCGGAAGAGGAGCTGCCCAGAGCGCATGCGTGTGCCCGAAAATGAACTTCCGGTTTCCAGCGTGCGCACCAGCCAGCTACTCTTCCGGGTTTCTGGTGCGAGTGCGCGCACGACAATCAGCTGGCCAGCGCACATGCTCACACAGGAAAACGCAAGACCAGCCTTTCCAGTTTCCGGCACTGCCGCATGCAAAAAGGCCAGCTGATCATCGTGTGCGCATACGCGCCAGAAACCCGGAAGAGGAACGGGTGACGCCACACGTGCCAGGCAACATGGCTCCGCGTGCCTAAGGTTCACCATCACAGTCCTGTTCTGTCCCCGTACCATGCACACACCCAACCAGCCAGCCGAGGGTTAAATAAACTCTTCAAACACACAATGTCAGTGATAAGGAACTTGGCAGCAACTCCGTGGCTGCCTGCCAAGAGTTTTTACTCCGATAACACAGACAAAAATACAGTTTGAATAGTCCAGTTTGTAATTAATTCCACGGCAAATAGATGTTGTGTCCGAAGGTGCAAGTGCCTTGCCAGAGATTAGCTTTGTCCGTCACAGAATCTGAATGGCCACCACACTCCCTTTTATAGCCTGTGGGGTGTGGTCCAGTGACTCAGCTTAATCTCTGGCACGCCTCCTTTTCTGCTGCTCACGCTTGTCTCTCCGACGCTGGCGTGGGTCCAACCACAATGTTTCTTCGTCACTATCCGAAACACCTGGCTCCTGGCCAATCTCTTCTCCTTCGGGAGACACCTGAGGCATTGCCAGAGAGGAGGGTCCTGGAGAGGGAGGCCTGGCCGTCTCCTCTCCTTCATGTTCGGAGCCTTCTTCCTCCAATAAGATAGGCTCGGAGGACGGAGCCACAACAAGTCCTAGGAGAACGTGGCTTACGGGCAGCAGGTAGAAATGGTAAGCCACATGACAGCAGCAGCACCTTTTCCTCCCCTGTTTGCTCTCTGCAGTGCTGTCCGGATGATGGCGTGAAGGTTCACCTCCGGCCCTGTGACCTACGCACCGTCAACAAGCTCTTTGAACAGGGACATTACGCATCCGTGGTGAGTGTGGAGAAAAGCATTGCGTGCTAGAACTGGAGAGCGGCAGCTACTCGTGACCTCCATTGAGCTTTTCCTCTCTCTGCAGCACAGCTTCAATGAGGACATAGTGGGAGTCCTATTGGGACAAACAGAGGAAGAACAGGTCGCCTCTGCAAGGGAACTCTATGTTGAGGTACTCATCTCTCCTCACCTGTTGGGGGTGGAAGATGCTCTCTTGAAGTTGACATAAGGGTTGAAGTGTGCATGTATGCATAGAGCATCCGTTCCATCTTAGCCTCACCTACTTTCTCTCCTGCAGTTACGTATAACCTCTGTCAGGCTTAGGCAAACTGTTCCAAGTTAGAACAGCTGCCTGGACTGCATTTCAGGTTTGGAAGTCAGTGTATCCGGGTTTTGCAAGTTTTTGTCCTGAGATTGGAGTACAGTTCTTGGTTTTGTTTTGCTTCATGGGAACTGCTGCCTGTCTGCATAGCCTTCTGAACAGCTCTGTCTTTGTCTTTCCAGCTGATGGGAAAGTATTTCAGTTGGTTTGATGCTCTGGACGCAAAGCACTGGACTCGCAACAGCTCCCTTCCCAAGTGAGTGCTCGGAACCAAAAAAATACAGAAGTCTTTTCCAAAGTCATATTGGGTGATGTGGAATCTATCAAACTGGGGCTGTTGGAAGCAGAGATTCCCTTAGTTCAGTGTTTCTCAACCTTGGCCCCTGGACGATGTGTGGACTTCAACTCTCAGAATTCTGCTGGCTGGGGAATTCTGGGGAATTCTGGGAGTTGAAGTCCACCCATCGCCCAGCGGCCAAGGTTGAGAAACACTGCCTTAGTTACACCATGAGATGAATTCTGTGCACCACATTAATTGCGGTCCCCAACCTTTCTGACTCTGTAGACTGGCGGAGGGGAAGGGCATGATTTTGCACACGGGCATGCGGTTTGCGCAAATGGCACCTGCCACCTGCGTGACCCAGTTGCCAATGGGCCATGGCCTGGTAGTGGTGCATGGACCAGACGTTGGGGACCTGTGATCTATAGTATAGAAGTTCCTCCACAGAGTTTAAGAAAAAACCAAGGCTTCAGAGGAACTTTTTAAAAAAAATTCCCACCAATAGAGTTGTCTTTGTCTTCAAAAGTCCCAGCTAATACAAAGAAATTGAGCAGAGCTTGGATACAACAAAGAATTAAGTATAGACATGTAATCTTTCCAGTTAAAGTCATGTTTAATCAGCCACCTTCTTGTAACTGTATCCTAATGCAAGATGCCAGTCCCATTTTATGGATCTGGAACTGAGGCCAGCAGATGATTGCTAGTGAAGCCATAGCATTAAAGGATAGTTACTGTGCAATGGACCTCTTAAGAAGGGAGTGAGGTCCACAGTAAACAGTTCTTCTGTTCCCTTTCATTTCAAATGTTTACACTTGTTTCCCCAACTTGTCTTTTCATAAAAAGTGTAAGTAGAGATGGGGGTGGGGTGGGGTGGAGAGCAAAGCCCAGATGCAAGAAAAACGTGTTTTATTGTCAGTGCTGAATCTTACATTTTTCAGACTACAGTTAGCAAGTCCCCTTGAGCGAGATTCCTGAAACCTTTTCCCCTCTTGCTCACCTGTAACTCTCCTCAATTCCAACAAGCTTGATCCACAGTGAGGGATACGAAGGACAACGGTTGGGTGGCCTAGTGCAGCCCTTACCTGTTTGAAGAAATCTTGTTGGATAGCCTCTGCAGCTTCTGATGGCTTCCTGTTTTCTCCCTCCCTTCTTCTGATAGTGGCATGCTTCCCAATGCAGTCCTGCCTCCTTCCTCTGACCACATCTATGCTCAGTGGAGGCAGCCACAAGAGGTCACCTTAGTTGCCAACAGCCATCTGACTCCTGCTGGCCCTGAAAACATAGGTAAGGCTTGGATGGAAAGGCCTCAAGGCTCAGGCCTTTTCCCTTTGCTTCCAGACACGGTCAGGCCAACAGTTGCTAAAGGGGGCTTTCTTACAGGGGTGAAATCCAGCAGGTTCTGACAGGTTCTGGAGAACCGGAAGCGGAAATTTTGAGTAGCGTGGAGAACCGGCAAATACCACCTCTGGCTGGTCCCAGAGTGGGGTGGGAATGAAGATTTTGCAATATCCTTCCCCCCAGGAGTGGGGAGGGAATGGGGATTTTGCAGTATCTTTCACCTGCCATGCCCACCAAGCCACACCACGCCCACCAAGCCACGCCCACAGAACCGGTAGTAAAAAAAAAAATGAATTCCACCACTGCTTTCTTCTCACCCCATATCTCCCCAATACATAGACACTTCCTTCTTTTGAGCCAGATTTCTGTTCCAATGCTGTGTATAGCAGCTTTCTGTCATCCAGCCCTCTCCAAATATTTATTGCTTATTTGTTAAATTGATTTGCTGCCTGTCTCTATCCATGGGGCTACTTTAGACGAGTCAAAATAATTAAAAAGAAGAAAACGAAAGGGGTGTAAACAGGAGTAAAAGAATAGAACCATGAAATAAATAATGAAAAAGGACAAAAAGAGTACACCAAGATGATGATAAAAAAGACGGTCGGGTGGAAAGCATTGCACAAGGGGGGGTAGGGTGGGGAGGTGGAGTCTGCCATCAGATTTACATATTAAGAGTTGGAAAGGACCTTGTAGGTCATCTAGTCCAACCCCCTGCCCAAGCAGGAGACCGTACGCCACAAATACCGTACAAATGGCAGTCCAGTCTCTTCTTGAAAGCCTCCAGTGATGAAGCTCCCACAACTTCCGAAGGCAACTTCTGTTCTATGGGTTGATTGTTTTCAGTCCATCGATTGTTCTCAATCAATCAATCGAGCAGCCAATCACCTCCAGCATGGAACTGTCCCATTTGGTCATCAGGCCAACCAGCAGATAAACGCTGGATTACAAACTCCCATCTTTCCACCCAGCACCACGCAATCGGAAGAGTAGAAGAGCTATCCGTCTAGCCTGTTAGAAGGTCTTTCTGATTCTGCTTGAAGATACTCTGGAGTTTCTTCTGTGGAATGAAGATCCTGTCTCCTTTTGAGGATCTCCTGTGCTCTGAGGAAATAATGGAGATCAAGAGCCCATGTTTTTCCTTTCTCTCCATGCAGTTGGGAAAGATGCAGAACATGTCTCTCCGCAGCAGCCATTGACGGACCCTGAGGATAAAAGACAGTGTGCCCTCTGTCTTCAGTTTGGAGATGCTCCTTCTAAGGTAAGAGTTCATCCCAAAGTCCTTGGCTCTTGGAATGGCCAACCTCAAGAAATCCTACAAGGAAGACCTCAACTGTAGATCAGTGATTCATAATGTCTATGGAGATTCTCAGTCCTTCAAGTCATGGTTGCCTCATAGGTGCTTTTCTTCAAGAGGCAACTGGACTTTCTTTGTTTTTCTTTGAAGATATTTCGCTTCTCATCCAAGAAGCTTTTTCCGCTCTGACTCGTTCTTCACCTCATTCTTCACCCCCACCATCCTGTCAGAGCGGAAGAAGCTTCTTGGATGAGAAGCAAAACGTCTTCAAAACCAGAAAGTGCAGTTGCCTCTTGGAAAAAAGCACCTTTGGGACAGCGTGTCAGGCTCCAAATAATGCATCCCTCATAAATCAAACTCCCAAGGCATAACTATTCCTCAAAGATCAAATTTATTTAGATACATCATATTGACGCTACTGGTGAAAAGCCAGTACTAATGTTCCTGGGCTTTTCACTTCAATATAAGTTTTTAGTTTTTCCAGTTTCCAAAACATTGGTCACATTTTCCAACCAAGATGGGAGCTGGTTGCTCAGCGACATCTCTCCTCCTTCTCCGGTCAGCCAGACGGTGGAATGTGGTTGACTCATCAGCTAGGAATGATGTTTTGACTGAAGGCTCCATCCCCCTCCAGCTCCAAGCTGTGTCAAGCTGAATTCACGCTAGGATGTCCAAGGAAACAGACAATCCCACACCCCAATCAAATTCAGGCTTGACACAGTGATTCTCATCTATTCTTCACCTTTTCTGGCCACGTATCCCCAAGACTTAACTCAAGATTTAAAACAACATTTCTTCAGATCTTCATGCACCCCCCCTCCTGTGATGACATTGTGCCCCCCCCCAGGGTTCCACAGACCACAGGTTGAGAATCTAGTGTAGATATACTGTACTGTCTCAAATCACTGCTCCCACCACTGATAATATTCCATAGCATGACAGCTCTGAACCTGAAGATACCGTGTTTCCCCGAAAATAAGACCCTGTCTTATATTTTGTTTGAACCCCGAAATAAGCGCTTGGCCTTATTTTCGGGGAGGTCTTATTATTTTGGGCCCCATGGAGCAAGATGGGGCTCCTTTTGCCATCTTACCTGATTTCCTCTGCGTTTAAATATTTTCGGGCAGGGCTTATTTTCAGGGGAGGCTTATTTTAGCGCATGCGCTCAAAAGCCCGATTGGGCTTATTATCAGGGGATGTCTTATTTTCGAGGAAACAGGGTAGTCATTGTTGGAAGGAGCCACTGCATGTTAGTATCCCTTGGCTGTCCCTTGAACTCCATAAATAGCATTTGGAATTTTTTTTAAAAAAGGTGATTGGGTACCATTTGGTTTGCTGCTACCGCATGGTCTGTTGAACAAGCCATAATGTCCAGGTTTACACATACAGGTAGACCTTGACTAACCATCACAGTGGAGCCTAACATTTGTTTCTAAGCACGACAGTTTTAAAGTGAATTTTTGCCCCATTCTGCAACCTTTCTTGCCACGGTTGCTAAATGAATCACTGTAGTTGTTAAGTTAGCAACACGGTTGTTAAGTGAATCTGGTTTCCCAGTTGACTTTGCTTGTCCGAAAAAAGGGATTGCATGACCCCAGGATACTGCAACCACCATAAATATGAATTTTGATCATGTGACCATAGGTAGGCTGCAATGGTCCTTAAGTATGAAAAATGGTCATAAGTCATTTTTCTCGGTGTGGTTGTAACTTTGAACGGATGTTGTAAATTGAGGGCTAACAGTAATGCTAGGCCAGGGGTCTGCAACCTTAAGCACTCAAAGAGCCATTTGGACCCATTTCCCACAGAAAAGAAAACACCGGGAGCCACAAAACCTGGGTGGGTGTGGCCAACTCGATGTCACTCACTTCCACCAGTCACATGAACCCCCCCTAGCCACGCCTACCCAGCCGGTCATTAGGACAGAGAACCAGTTGTTAAAAACCACTGGGAACCACAAAACCCTTTTGACATATCTCCCTCTCCCTCCCTTCCCCCTCTCTCCCTCCTCTCTCTGTATCTCTCTGTCTCTGCCATGGCTGCTTCTCCATCCCCCATCGTCACCCTTACGTTCTCAGGCCAGGCGAGGAATGACTGGGAGGGGAGGGCGAGGGGCAGGGACAGCCAGTGGTGGGATCATCCGAAGGGGCGCCACAGCAGAGGGCCCAAAGAGCCGCATGTGGCTCCGGAGCCGCAGGTTGCTGACCCCTGTGCTAGGCAGTTGACTGATGGGATTCACAAACCATATCAAATCAAAACCAAACACGCATCCCTTCTCCTCCAAATCCTTTCTCTCTAGGATGCAGGGAGGCTGCTGTACATTGGCCAAAACGAATGGACTCATGTCAACTGTGCCATCTGGTCAGCGGAGGTCTTTGAGGAGAACGATGGCTCCTTGAAGAACGTACATGCCGCTGTGGCTCGTGGCCGGCAGATGGTGAGTTTGGGTCATTCCTGCTCTCCCCTCTCTGCTCTCCCCTCTTATTTGAAAGGGGAGCAAGAATGGGCCCTCTCCAGAGGAAGCACACCTTGAAATCCTTTTTGGCTTTATTACAGATCACTTTATCAGTGCATCCTGGTACATTTTGTACAGGATGTCAGTGTTATAATGTGGATTCTTGCACCAGAGATGGGAGTGGCGGCCTCAAAACCAGCATTGTTATGTTAGATCTGTTGTTCAGACTAGATTTTCCAAGTCGGGTAACAGAGTAGTATCCCAGCCACTGGAAGATCTGCTCTGGGTTCCAACAGGAATGCTGGTGTAAATTCTGCCTGAGCCCCAAAGACTCAAAAGTGGATCAGAACAAAGGTGTAGTTCTGGGGTGAAATGCTCCCGGTTTGGACCGGATCACCTGATCCGGTAGTGATGGCGGTGGGTGGTTCGGAGAACAGGTAGCAAAAATCCCTGCGCCCCCCCACCCTCCAGCATGCTCAGCTGAGCCGCACAATCATCAGAGGCTTTTTTTTTTAACTTTTAAAAGCATTTTTTCTACAACCTCTTCCGACGAAAAAATGCTTTTAAAAGTTAAAAAAAAAAAAAGCCTCTGATGATCGCCCAGCTGAGCTGGGATCGTCAGAGTGGCTTTTCAAAGCATTTTTTAAAAAGCCTCTCTGACGATCCCAGCTGAGTTGCCTGATCTGCAGAGAGGCTTTTCAAAGCATTAGAAAAAATGCTTTGAAAAGGTTTTTTTTTTAAAGTTAGCCACGCCCACCCAGTCACATTATCCCTCCCCACCAAGCCACGCCCACAGAACCGGTAGTAAAAAAATTTACATTCCACCCCTGGTGTAGTTGTATCCAAAAGGCAGCATTTCAGTCTGAACAAAAGCAAAACTTGCACCCTCTGGGTGGGAGACCATTTTGAATCCTTCTATTTTCAGAGTCTTGACCTGGCACTATTAATCTTAAGAAGTTGAGTAGACCAGTGCTTCCCCCCAACCTCCAGTTCTGTGGAGAGAAATGTTTTCCTATGGACCAGAGGGGCCGTGGTTTCATGTGTTGCCTGCATCCTGCGGATGGGGCTTCACTTGTTTGCGTGGCCCGATTTCTGGCATGCTGCAAACTGGGAGTTGGGGACCCCTGGAGTATACTAAAACAAGGTTCCCCCAACCTGTGGACCGCAGCCTACTACCGGGCCGTGGGCTATTTGCAACCGGAGCGTGTTTGCAGCAGGCGGTTGCACGCTTGTGAGCTGGCACGGGTGCTCGCAGCGGGTGCCAGCACTCAGCCCCACTTGTACTCGCAGTACCCATGCACGCCTGCCGCTCACACAAATGAAGCTGTGTGCGGGCATTTGCCCCTCACGCAAAACCATTCCCTCTTTTCCTCTATCCCTTCCCCGCGTTAGGCCACCAACCCAGAAAAGTTGGGGAATGCTGGACTACGAGAGTGCCAATGCCATACCTACTTATGTAGCTGACTGGGCTTGCTTAACGATGTGGGAGAGATTGTGGGGAAAGGAGAGCGTGGCAAGCACAAGACGTGTGTGCTTAGATGTCTCCCTTGTTTGCACACACTACAAAAAAATAATTAGATGGCAGCAAACTGCTGGGCCTTTTACGTAGTTTTGGCCTGCTGTACTGGCATGGCTACCTTGTCCTTGACCTCTCTCTCTCTCTCTCTCTCGCCTTTTCTTTTCCTGCTCCAGCGCTGTGAACACTGTCAACGCACTGGGGCCACAGTTGGCTGCTGCCTCTCTGCCTGTCTCAGTAATTACCACTTCATGTGTGCTCGCCTCTGCCATTGTACTTTCCAGGAGGACAAAAAAGTTTTCTGCCAGAAGCACGTTGACCTCCTGGATGGAACGGTAAAAGGGGGAGTGGGGGAGGGGCAGGAGAATTGCCAGGGGGAGGAGTGGACAATGCAGGAATTTCCATTAATGCTGGGTTTAAAAGGTCACGGCTGGGAGAGTTTCATCGCTTCTGTCTGGCCTTTGAAAGCTGGAGGAGTGAGCTGGGTTTTCTAGAAGGTGTGCAATCTGCAAAGAGTGTGGCATTTGTGTGTGTGTGTGTGTGTATGTATGTATGTATACCGGTGACACAATTATGAGTAAGCGGTGTGTGAAGCTGTCATTCTGCCTTTCTTCTAGGAGATCGTCGCTGAAGATGGGTTTGATGTCCTACGGCGGGTCTATGTCGACTTTGAGGGAATCAGCTTCAAGAGGAAATTTATGGTGGGCTTGGAGCCGGATACCATCCACATGATGATAGGTACTTGAGGGGAGACGAATGAGCAGCGGGTGGGCTAAGGAAGCATTGGGATCCAGAGTTAGATGAGCTTTTACTTCTCCCATAAGGTGGAGGTTCTCGTGATAGATGTGGGAATGAATTTAAAGGCTCAGAGGTAAAGAAGGCCTGATCTGAAAATGTCTCGGCAGCCCTCGTGTTCATGCCTCCTGTTCTGGCAGTGCTCATCCTCAGATTGCGTAGAAGCAAAACGGGGCCATACCTGAGAACATTGCATGCTGGAGGAGGTGCAATTGTTTCCGAAAAAAACAGGTTCCACTCCCTAGTAGTCCTTTTTTTTTTCCACATGGAAATGAATGGGAGCAATTTATGGACACTAGTTGACATCGCTGGAATTAGAATTAAACCTGGTCTTGGTGGCTTCCATGGCTTTATATGTATAGGAACAGGTGGATGAGAATATGAAAGGAAACGTTTTCTCCAAGGGCTGCACTGAGAGCCAGGCTGGTGTCTTTAAGTGAGCCCTGGTGGGCACAGTGGTTAGAATGCAGTATTTCAGGCCTACTCTGCTCACTGCCAGGAGTTCCATCTTGACTGGCTCAAGGTTGACTCAGCCTTCCAGTCTTCCGAGGTTGGTAAAATGTGGACCCAGATTGTTGGGGGCAGTAGGCTGACCCTGTAAACCACTTAGAGCGTGTTGTAAAACACTGTGAAGCAGTATGTAAATTGATAAGTGGTATTACTCCCTAGTGCCGCATAACGGGGTGAGCTCCCGTCACTTGTCCCAGCTTTTGCCAACCTAGCTGTTTGAAAGCACGTAAAAAATGCAAGTAGAAAAATAGGGACCACCTTTGGTGGGAAGATAACAGCATTCCATGTGCCTTTGGCGTTTAGTCATGCCGGCCACATGACCACGGAGACGTCTTCGGACAGTGCTGGCTCTTCGACTTTGAAACGGAGATGAGCACCGCCCTCTAGAGTCAGGAACGACTAGCACATATGTGCTAGGGGAACCTTTACCTTTACCTTATTACTAGTAATATCTAGAGGAGAACAGAAAAGAAGTTCTTCTCTGGAGAAGTTCCTCAATTATGGAATGGCATTCTGAAAGATGCACCATATTGTTTCAGGATAAAATATTTTCATTTGGGCTTTTCAAACTACTCTATTTATGGCAAGGGGCATGCTTGAGTCCCTCTTGATTTTATTGTATGTGGCTTGGCCCTTTAATATTTTAACGATTTTTAAATTTGTGTGTCATCTATTCCTGAAGTCTCTTTTTAGACCACAATAGTCTCACAAATAGAACAGTCCCCAAATATTGTAAGTAAACGGATAGATCCCTTTAAATACCTGCCTGGGATTATACCCCTTCACCCCTGCTTTCAGTTCTCCGCTATCCAGAATTATTTTTCAGGTGGCTTTTGTTTAATTTTGTGGGTGGGGGGCATTAAATTCATGTTGCAAAATGAACAAAATTCATTTTGTGGGAAGGCGAGGCGGGGGAGGGATTGGGGTCTCCATTGCATATGGGGAGAGGCTAACTCAACATCCGTCTTGGCATCTTTGGATAAAGCTGGGATGCTGGCTGGCCTTCCCCCCCCCCACCCCTTCCGAGAGTCTCTCCCAACAAGTGCAGGCAGTGTTGAGTAGCGTGACAGAGGGCTCCGACTCTGTTGAAGACTGCTTCCTATGTTCTTTTTGCAGGAAGGGCTGTAGCTCAGTGATAGAGCAGCTGATTTGCATGCAGAAAGTCCCAAGTTCAGTCCCATCAAATCTCCAGGTAGGGCTGGGAAAGTCCCCTGCCTGACACCTTGGAGAGCGTCTGCCAGTCAGAATAGACAATACGTAGCTCGATGAACGAGCGGCCTGGCTCTCCACCAGGCAGCTGCTTTCTCTCTTTGTATTTGCCCTGCAGCATTTACCATCATGACTAGTCTGAGGTAGAAAGCTCTCGCCCGTCCTTCTCATCCTGCCCACCCACCCCATTTATTTCCATGGGCTACCACCCTCCGGGACTTCCTTGGGGGCGAGCCCCATGGAAAACCAGAAACTCCCACAGCAAGAATTTCACAGGGACTTTTTGCCCAATTGGTGAAGCGTGTTGGATTCTTCTCCTGCTCGGCGAGCCTTGACGGCTTCTCAAATCTTATCTCTGCTGTCAGGCTCCATGAAGATCGATAGCTTGGGGATGCTGACGGACTTGTCTGAATGCGAGGGACAGCTCTTACCTGTCGGCTACCAGTGAGTATCTACTTCCGAGTTGCTGTTTGCAGTGACACGTTCCATTCTTTAGTGGGATCCTAAGAGAGCCAGAGTTTTGACATCGGGGTTGTATGCGCATGCATATGCTGTGGTCACGTGTCTGTGTTTTATGACACTTTTGCCAAAAAAAAACCTAGCATTTACTTGGCTTGCTTAATGACTGCCGCAACAAAAGGTCCTAAAATCAGGTCAGTCACCTTTTATGACTGCAATGGGTATGCTCCATTATGGTCATAACTCGAGGACTACCTGTATAGCAAATGTGTTAGCTAAAGAGGCTTCTTCACCCAGCCTCTAAAAAGCTCCCTGAATGGCCACATTAGCTAGAATGCTGTGAGGTGGAACCATAGAGAGCCACGGTGGCGCAGTGGTTAGAATGCAGTACTGCAGGCTGCTTCTGCTGACTACCGGCTGCCTGCAATTTGGCAGTTTGAATCTCACCAGGCTCAAGGTTGACTCAGTCTTCCGTCCTTCCGAGATGGGTAAAATGAGGATCCAGATTGTTGGGAGCCATAGGCTGACTCTGTAAACCACTTAGAGAGGGCTTTGAAGCATTGTAAAGCGGTATATAAGTCTAAGTGCCATTGCTATTGCTATACACCTCCAGAGGGTACCAGGTTGGAAAAGGGTGAATGTCCTTTTAGACATGGAAAGGCATACCTCTGGTAGCATTTGATGGGATATTTTTTTTTTCCTAATGGAAACAGACCAAGATTTTATTTTATTTTTTTAATTCTGCCCCTTCCAATTTTGTGGCATGTTGGAGATCCTTATTTTTTTTAAGCACTTTAAGCTTGTCTTAGAACAGTGGTGGCGAACCTATGGCACACATGACAGAGGTAGCACTCAGAACCCTCTCTGTGGGCACACGCGCCATCGCCCCAGCCCAGCTCCATCATGTTTCTCCCACAGGGGGCAGAGAGGGAGGGAGGGAAAGAGAGAGAGGGAGGGAGAGATAGGAGGAGGGGAAGAGCGAGAGGGAGAGAGGGAGGGAAAGAGAGAGGGAGGGGAAGAGAGAGAGGGAGGGAGAGATAGGGGGAGGGGAAGAGCGAGAGGGAGAGAGGGAGGGGAAGAGAGAAATGATATTACAAAAGTTTGTCTGTTTTATTGTCGCTAAATGCAATATTTCAAAAGCAGAAAAAAAATGAAGGGGCATAAAAGTGCATTTATCACATTTTACTTAGAACAATTAGCTGAACTCTGCTGAGTTTATCATTATTTTAGGTAGTAAAACCTCAGTATTCAGGTTAAATTGCCGTGTTGGCACTTTGCAATAAATAAGTGGATTTTGGGTTGCAGTTTGGGCACTCGGTCTCTAAAAGGTTCGCCATCACTGTCTTAAGAGCGAGCTTAAGGCTCGATTATCACATTGAATCATTTTGCAGGATCTTTTAAGAATTATTTTCTTTCTCTCCTGACGGCAAGGAAACCTTGCTACAAAATTTCAGCGATAGTATTTATGGGCTTGTTAGGGATTTGCAGGTTGCCCACCTCTTCTCTAAGCAGGAAGGTGCCTGACTCCTAGGCCTCCTGCCGCTTAGACCGAGAAGGTACAGAGATCTTTTGCTTCCTTCTGAACATATCCCCATCAGATGTTCCAGATTATATTGGAGCACAGTGGATGCCCGTAAGCGGTGCGGATATACATGCCGGGTCCTGGAGTATCGGCCAAAGCTGAGCCAAGAAGAGCCAGATGCCTCAGGAATGCAGGAAGAGAACCACACTATTGTGCACAGCCCTGCTGCCCCTGTAGGTAAGTCTGGTCTGGGCCTTTCCCCCCCCCCCCCCCGAGACTTCTTTTGCATTTTACTTTTCCATCTCAATGCAGCAATGCAACAGAGGATTTTCTGCATCCCTTAATGAGGGGAGACAGAGGATTGGAGTCAGCTCAACAAACTCATTGGATAGTTCTGCAGTCCTTCTACCTCCTAGATTTCTCAACCCTGGGAACTTCTAAGATGTCTTATTGGACTGTCCCTTCTCCTCCTCCTCCTCCTCCTCCTCCTCCTCCTTATACTCCAGTGAATTAGGGAAGCGTCTGCCTGACTCCCTTCCAGATATCTTCTTGTACGGATAGAAGATAATATTAGTACCGTGCAGGGTGGATAAAAATCAATGATTTTTTTTAAAAAATCAAAAAAATCGGATTTTTTTGATTTAAATTGGATTTTTTTGATTTAAATCAGATTTTTTTTATTTTTATTGAATTTATTTTAATAAAAAACTTTTGGGGTAAAAATCTATCGTAAGAATAGTTTTCTATTTAAGATACATAAATAATTTAGTTTATTCAGCATGAAATGGAGCTTAGTTATGTAGCACAAGGCTGTATATTCTGCAACACTGGGACTATCGGTGAGTCAACAGCGGGTCAAAGGAGTAGCAGAGATGATAGTTGCTCTTTAAAAATTATGATTTAAATCGAGTTGATTTAAATCAAGTCTTTTTACTAGTGATTTAAATCATGATTTAAATCGACTCGATTTAAATCAAATCCACCCTGGTACCGTGTTTCCCTGAAAAATAAGACTGAGTCTTATTTTCTTTTGGGTCCCAAAATAGGCACTGGGGCTTATTTTCAGGGGTGTCTCATCCCTTCCTCCCTCCCCCCATGTACAGGAGGCCCATGTACAGGAGGCCCACTTCTTCTGCTTGCTCACGGTGGGGCAGGAGGCTGGCTGTGCAGGCTCTTAAGTAGGGCTTATTTTGGGGGTAGGACTTAACATTAGGCACATACATAAAAACCCGGCTAGGGCTTATTTTCAGAGAAACAGGGTAGCTGAGGGTTGAACTGTGGAGTCCGTGGTGCTCTCGGAGTTTGGTGGTTTTCTGACAGAGGTTACATTACCAAACTATTTTTTTTAAATCTTTTTATTATTTTTTTTTTAATTCATAAACATTTTGAATACAGTGTATCGTCAGGGTATATCATTTCCAAAAGAAAAACAAAGGAAAGGCATTAAAAAGTATTGACATATATCAGAGGTCTTCAAACGTGGCAGCTTTAAGACTTGTGGACTTCAACTCCCAGAATTCTCCAGCCAGCTATGCTATGCTGGCTGGAGAATTCTGGGAGACAATAATCTTCCTTCATCTGCTGCCACGTTTGAAGAGCTCTGACATATATATTGGTAACAGTAGTAATAATGTAACAGAGTAATTTACCTAAACTTCTCTTTATATTGGCGTATTTATAATTCTATTAAATATATTGACACATGTATAGTTATAAACCATCTTTAATTCAATAATAAGATAATAACATATTATAAGATAAGATGATAAGATAAGATAATAACAATAATCTTCCTTCATCTAACCTAGTTTCATTACCAAACTTGATAACGTCATCAGTGCCTTAACATTCTCTTGTTGTTGTGGACTTGGCTTCAGCCCATTTTGGCTAAGCTTCTTGCACATTTCTGCCAAAGATACCTTCATTACTCTCTACACTCCCATCAGCCAGATTTGGAGTGGCATCATAAACCTGGAGGTTTTATCATCCTGAATTTACAAGTAACACGTCGCTAATAAAAGTCTGGTTAAGGCCCTCACCCCTTAGCCATTTCAGGTCCCTGGGTTCTACTGCTTCTGGTTTCTACTTCTGACATGTTTTCTGTTTTCAGACCCTAACCTCAGAGACAAGCCACTTCAGGAGGCACCTTCTCCTGTGCCACCACTGGAGCGCCACTCTCCAGCACAGAACCCAGGACCTCTGCCACCTCCAGAGCCTGCTGTCTCCAAGCCTAAACCTCTCACCGGAGCTCGCATCAAAGTGCCCAACTACTCCCCTACCCGCCGGCCCCTAAGCGGGGTGTCATCCCGCCCGTTGCCTTCTCCCGGTGGGTACTTGGCAGTCCACATCCATAGGGTGTGGATCACGCAATTACAAAATCAAGGGTTGGCTCTTGAACCAACTCCTGGGACAAAACAATTCACAGAGAGGTAGCACAGAAGTGGTGGGGGTCTCTTTCAGGGGTGAAATGTAAAATTTGTTACTACCGGTTCTGTGGGCGTGGCTTGGTGGGGAGGGGTAATGTGACTGGGTGGGCGTGGCCAACTTTTTTAAAAAAAAAACTTTTCAAAGCATTTTTTCTAATGCTTTGAAAAGCCTCTGCCGATCAGGCAACTCAGCTGAGATCATCAGAGAGGCTTTTTAAAAAATGCCTCTCTGCCAATCAGGCAATTCAGCTGGGATCGTCAGAGACTTTTCAAAGCATTTTTTTTAACCACCTCTTCAGCCAAGAGGTTGCAGAAAAAAATGCTTTGAAAAGCCTCTGACGATCCCAGCTGAGCTGCGCCATCATCAGAGGCTTTTTTTTTCCTTTTAAAAGCATTTTTTCGTCGGAAGAGGTTGTAGAAGAAATGCTTTTAAAAGTTTTAAAAAAAGCCTCTGATGATTGTGCGGCTCAGCTGGGCATGGTGGGGGGGTGGTGCAGGGATTTTTGCTACCGGTTCTCCGAACCACCCGTTGCCATCACTACCGGATCAGGCAATCCAGTCCTAACCGGGAGCATTTCACCCCTGCTCTTTTTCCTTTTTAGTTTTCCGATTGACTTGGATTCATTAATCGCGTTAGACCACAATCCAGGGTTGGTTGCATGTGAAACACAACGCTAGGCTCAACCCATCCCAAATGTAGGAGACGGGATGGCAGAACCTGGAGGTGGAACGAAAAGGGGGATCAGCCTAGAATCCCTACATAGCTGTAAGAGAACTAAATCCAGCCCTTTGCTGTTGACCCTTATCTAACTCTTAACAGTGTCAAGCAGGCGTAAATACTACTATAAATGTCCCCACTGAAGTGGGGGGAAGAGTTGAAAACTGGGGTGATAGGTTGGGGGTTTGTGTCCACAGCACATTCTTGACCAGGGGAGATCCCAGCAGCCAATGCACCTTCACTCTTCTTAACACCTCCTTTTTTTCCCCTCTTTTCCTCCCCTGTTTTGCAGGAAGCGCATCATCCATGTCCCATCATATCTTGACTGTGGGTGACCCCGACTTCCCTCCTCCGCGCCGCACACAACGCCTCAGCCCCATGTCACCTAGCAGCAACTCTCGTCCCCGCCGGTCCCCTCTCCCACCCCAAGCCCCTGCTAGCAGGACTAGCCCCCCCAGCACCTCTCTCAGGGCAATGCCACCTCTCCCAGACTACCCCACAGCTGGGAACGGCTTCAGGCATCCTTCTACCTCAGCCGGGTGTGATGAGCAGCGGCCCGTAGCTACCTCACCCCCTCCCTCGTCCCCCCCTGTGCCGCCAGAGCTGGCCTTTGAGCTCAATGTCTCCGACTTGGAATTTGACGACAGCCTTCTGGATGAGCCTTTCCAGGAAGAAGAGTTGGGAGGGCCACGGACATGTCCCCCTTCACCCAGCCTGGGCCTGCCCCAGTTAGATGGGCTGGGCGACGGCGAGAGTGAGGAGGAAGGAGAGGCCGGCCGCTACTTCCGCTTCCCGCGTACGGTGGTAACCCGAGACCCACCTCTGCCGCCTTACCCGCTGGACCTCCCTCTGCCCCATATCCACCAGCTGGATGGCATAGACGATGGCACTGACAGTGAGGCGGACGCAACGGGGGGACACCCTTCCACCAAGGGCAAGCAGCCCGAGCCGAGGGTCGAGCGAGAGCTGGCTGGCCCCACTCCAGCTCCAGAGGACTTGCCCTCGGACATTGTGGACTTTGTGCTAAAGAACATGGATGCCCCGGAGAGCAAGGCCAGCCCACCTTCTTGCCTCAGCCCGATGCCACTGCCACTGGCACCTCCTACCTCTGCCAGCCTCAACGGCACTGAGTCAGCCCATCCCAGCCCTGCTCCGGATCCAGTTCCAACCTTAACCCTCAGTTGTGCCCAAGTGCCCTCCACCCCTGAAGTGACGACAGTGCTGGGACCTGAGGCACAAAAGCCCAATTCCAGAATCATTCTGGTGAACAAGCTGGCCCAGGTGTGCATGAAAGTTCAAGGCGAGGAAAGCCCATTGGCCACTCAAGACGGGGAGCAGGCTTCCAAACCAAACCCCACGCCGATGTCCGCTGCTCCCAACCTTGGCACGGTCATTCTGCGGGCACCTCTGGGCCTGACTCCCAACCCCTTGCCCACTTGGACGATCCGGGGCCCGGTACTTAGCATGGTACCCATGATGAACGTGATGGGCACCACATCTCAGGCTGTTGGTGGTGGGCAGCTGGCACTGAGTACCCCAGCTCTGGTGACACCTTCCCTGGGACTCCAGCAGACTTGTCTTCTTCAGCCTGTCGCCATGAATTCTGGTGTGCTTAGTATCCCTGGCTTGGTGTCTTTGCCCAGCCCTCGCCCAGCCATCCGGGTCAAGAGAGTTTCCACCTTTGTCGGAAATGTGCCCGTCAAGAAGATGAAAGTGGACGGAGTTAATGAGGAGGAGCTCCCTCCTGTATCCCCAACAGTTACTCCTGATCACTTGGCAAATAATTGCATTTCTGGCAGTACAATGGGTTCTGGGTAAGTATAGGCATCTTAGCTATCCCTTTTCTGTTTCTCCCATGTTAATTACATAGAAGTTGTGTTGAAATCCAAAACCACACATGGTTTTGTAACCAAGACCCAGCAGATCAAGGAGAGCATGCTACAATAGCAGTGAAATTTTTTACTACCGGTTCTGTGGGCATGGTTTGGTGGGCGTGGCTTGGGTGTGGCGGGAGAAGGATACTGTAAAATCTCCATTTCCATCCTACTCCAGGGGCAGGTTACTGCAAAATCCCCATTTCCTCCTGATCAGCTGGGACTTGAAAGGCAAAGAACAGATGGAGGCAGGGCCAGTCAGAGGTGGTATTTACCGGTTCTCCGAACTACTCAAAATTCCCACTACTGGTTCTCCAGAACTGGTCAGAACCTGCTGAATACCACCTCTGTACAATAGCTGTGAGAGCCATGTTTCCAGATGTCCATCTTCTCTGAGCTCAATGCTAGCACAGTGTTAAATCTAGCATCTAGCTTAGTGTCCAAGCTTGGCAAATATTAAGATCTGTGGACTTCAACTGCCAGCTGGCTGGGGAATTCTGGGAGTTGAAATCCCCAAATCTTAAACTTGCCTGTGAACACCCCTGGTCTAGACACTATCATTTTATAGTGTTGACTATAAAGGTTGACTCAGCCTTCCATCCGTCCAAGGTGGGTAAAATGAGGACCCAGATTGTTGGGGGAGCGATATGCTGACTCTGTAAACCACTTAGAGAGGGCTGTTAAGCACTGTGAAGCAGTATATAAGTGCTAAGTGTTATTTTAATATAGATATAACAGGGGTTGGTTTTTTTCTTTTTTGCAGTTCCATCTAAAGTTATCGCCATGTCTTAACACCAGATTTCCTTACATATGGTTTTTCTTTAAGATATTAAGTATTCTGCCACCATCCCAAAATAACACCAGACAAAGCCATTCTACACATAATAAACTTGAGTTTTGATGGTCCTCAAGGTGGAGATGCATGGAGAAAACTAGGATTCAGAAATAGGTACCAGTGAATAATGCCCATCCTATCAGTTTGGACTATTTTCCATATAGCTAGTTTCTTCCTTGTTTTGTAGCTCCAGTTCGCTATTTAATGAGACTAAAGCAGTAGCTTTCTAGGATTAAAAACAATCCTAGTGTGAGAAATCTAGTGATTGGGTGGCAGATTCCACCAGAGCCATGGTGGCGCAGTGGTTAGAATGCAGTATTGCAGGCTAACTCTGCCCACTGCCAGGAGTTCAATCCTGACCGGCTTAAAGTTGACTCAGCCTTCCATCTTTCCAAGGTGGGTAAAATGAGGACTCAGATTGTAAACCGCTTAGAGAGGGCTGTAAAGCACTGTGAAGCGGTATATAAGTCTTAAGTGCTATTGCTATTAGCTTTTGCACTCAGCTTGTTTGCGGGCACAGTTTATCTCAAATCCAAAAGGCAGCTAACTGCACAAATAACATTAAAAGATAGGAACAGGATAAAAATACAAAAAATAGCTTAGACTCTATGCTTTCTTGATGATCGGGGATCTAGAACAGGGCTCTCCAACCTTGGCAACTTTAAGGCTTGTGGACGACAACTCCCAGAGTTCCTCAGCCAGCAAAGCTTCAGTGTTTGAAGGAAGCTCAGCTAGAGTTGCAAGGATTTTCTAGATGCTTTTATTTGATTTTGATCTCATCAAGAGCCTTGTTACCTTCCTTTCATTTTTCCCTCTGTTCATTTTTGTTTTTGATGCCGTGATGGTGGCATCAAGGTGGCACGCAGCGCCCTCTCTGATGGCATGCAAGCCGTCGCCCCAACTCTGTGCATGCGCGCACACCTTCCGCCGGCCAGCTGGTCTTTGGGTCTCTGCCGCACATGCGCATGGGGAGGGGCGCATGCACATTGCATTTTGGGGGTTCGGGCACGCACACGCTTTGGGCATTGGGTTTGGAAAAGGTTAGCCATCACTGCTCTAAAGGAATCAGGAGTTGGGAACCCCCTCCGAATATTCAGTTTATAAATAAAAATCCTTCTCTTCATGGTGGAGGAACAAGTGATAACTAAATGGAGACACTTTTATTACGTGGCTTTACAGCTTTCTTTTTTCTCTCTCTCTCTCTCTTTTAAATCATAAATGGTCTTGGAACCAGTTTTCGGGAAGAGAACCTATATATGTTTTATGTTAGTAAAGAGAATGCGTCGGGAAGGTTTTCCATTCCAGTGGCATATACAAATTTCTTCTATCATAATATAAACCAATTTTTAAACCTTCGGGGGGGGGGAGGGAGGGCGGAATGCAGGAAACCCCAATTCTCAGTCACCTTGATCTCTCTGAGTCAGCTACTGGGTGTTGGGAGCCTTAGTTGCTCGCAGCTGCATGATTGGCTGAAGACAGCTACACCATCAATCAGCATCAGTATCAGCAGCCTTGCAGAAATACCTAAATCGCATTGGTTTCCCTCGCACAAGTGTCTACAGGTAGTCCTCGACTTACGACCACCATTGAGCCCAGAATTTACATTGCTAAGTGAGAAATTTGTTAAGCGAGTTTTGGCCACGTTGAACGCCTTTTTTTGCCACTTTTATTATAAGCGAATCACCGCAGTTGTTCACTTAGTAACGGGATTATGAAGTGAATTCTGGCTTCCCTGTTGACTTTTGCTTGTCGCGAAAGGGGAATCACATGACCCCAGGACACCGCGACCATCATAAAGATGAACCAGTTGCCAAGCGTCTATAAATTTTGATCACGTGACTATGGGGACGCTCCAATGGTCGTAAGTCACTTTTTTCAGTGCCGTTGCGGTCCCTAAATGAACTGTTGTAAATCGAGGACTACCTGTATTTATGCAAGCGTGTGTGCATGCGTATGTTATGTATTGAAATGGCCCCTTTGCCCTACAGCATTGGGAGGGTACGGATGAAGACGCCCACAACAAAGGGCGTCCTAAACCTGGATGCATTCAAAGAGGAGACGAGCATCATCAGCGAAAACGAGCTGTAAGTGTATTGGCTTCAAGCTATAGGAACTCTGGCGTTTGCTTGCTTGCTTGCTTGTTTGTCGACCCTTAATCGTTCATTTCCGATGTCTCTGCAGGTCTCCGATGGAACATTCTCCTTCCTTGGCAGCGTTGCATTCCCATCCTGGATCCCCGGAGCAGATCCAGAAGTCTGTGCTGGAACACGTCTGGCATAGATACGCAGGTAGAGCCCTCTGGCTTACATCCGGTTTAGTGAAAGGGCTCAAGAAATTGTTGGGAGGCTCTTGATTCATTCTTGATAAATATATCCAAGGACACTCGCATCAGTCTTCGTTATGGTCCTACGCCAGCATAAATTCAAAAATAAAATGGCAATTTTTACCTAACCCCTGGGGATAACCAGCTTAATGTGGAAATTATCGTATTTTTCGGACTATAAGACGCACTGGAGAATAAGACGCACCAAGATTTGAAAGAGGAAAACAAGGGGGAAAAAAGTTTTTGGCTCCCGCGCATCTGGTTTTTGCCCTCCCCAGCCTCCAGGAGCACTCTGCAGGCCTCCCAAACCCTCTGTGCATCCCGTTTTTGGGACAAACTGGCCTTTTTTTGGTGAAAATGGGGCGTGTGGGGCGGGGTTTCAGGAGGCCAAAAACGGCTGTATTCGGTGTATAACTAACATTTCCATCCTCTTTTAGGGAGGAAAAAGTGTGTCTTATACTCTGAAAAGTATGGTACATGGAGGTCTGAGAATTGAAATCCCTATTTGCTCCTAAAATTTAATGGGTAGTCCTGAAACTGCCATTCAGCCTAACCAGTGTGTATCCTCTTGGACCCACCCTGTGCCTCCTTCACACACCCCATTCACCCTCCCCAATCCTCACTATGCCTCACCGTGACCCTCACCGTGCCTCCTTCCACTTCCTTTGCATCCCCCTGCACCCTGGCCTCACCACACTTCCCTCACCCAGAATCAGCCACTCACCTCCCTGCCATCCTGCTTGCAAGCCATCTGGGACCTTCAATTTCCTGCCTGCTTCCCCAATGATTTGCCTGTGGGGAAGCCAGCAGGAAGTTGCCTTGCCTAGCAATTGTGGGATTCAGTTAACGACAGCAATGGGACTGCAGGGATTTCTGACGCTAAGCAACGCAGTCGTGCTTTGCGATCACATCACTTAGCAATGGAAGGGATGCTCTGCAAGTTGACCTTATGCTTTGTGAGATGACAGTTCTTGGCAAGCCACTTTTTTTTTTATCAAAAGATCCTTGAGTTTTCTTATTTTTCCCTCTGCTCTCATATATAAGTAGTCCCAGTTCATTCACCTTTTGCAATTTTCTGACAAGCAGAGTCATGGGCTGGCTTGATCCCACAGTTTTTGGTTAATTTTAATTGATTTTAATTGTGTTTGTTTTAAATTGCGGCCAAAAATATTTAATTATTTTTAAACTGTTTTTAAATTTTGTATGTTCTGTTTTATTCTGGCTGTTCACCGCCCTGAGTCCTACTGGAGAAGGGCGGTATACAAATTAAAACAAACAAACAAATAAATAAATAAATGGGGAAGCCAGATTCACTTAACAACGGTGTGACTAATTTATCCATTGCAGTGACTTACTTAACAACTGTGGCAAGAAAGGTTGCAAAATGGGGCAAAACTCCACAATGACAGAAATGTGGGGCTCAATTGTGGTCGTAAGTCGAGGACTACCTGTATTTTTTGGCCCTTCCGTGTCCCATTCCATTATCCAAGATCTTGACACAGGAAATCTCCACAGAGTATACCAAAAAAACACACCTCGATTTGGGCCTCTCTTTTGCCTCTAGGAGATCTGTCCAGCTCAGACGAAGACAATCTGAAACAGGAGGACAAAGAAAATGAGATGCCCCGAAAAACGCAGCCCCACTTGTGCTTTGAGATCACAAGCGAAGATGGTTTTAAAGTGCAGGCTGACAGCATTGATGGTGAGGAGGAAACCAACCTTGGCAGAATTCCTTTTAACCGTTCTCTTGGGTGCTCTGTACCGCCTGCAAAGCTCCCTCAATAATGGTGGATTACTATGGATGGGTTGAATTTTCTTGGGGTGCTGGTGGAAGTCAAGGGAGGCTTGCTTGAGAATCCTTTGGAGTTCCTAGAAGTGTTCTGACCTAGGCTTCCCCAGCAGCACGAAGCCTAGTCCTTGTCCCGATAAACCCCTTTTATTTAATTTACAGTGAATTCCTCTCCAGCAAAGTCTTCCCTCTCCCACAGTCTTTCAAGATAGTTCACAAATACCGACCTTTATCAGGCTTGGAGAGTGGCCAGGCCAATATCTTTCAGACTCCACTCTGTAACCGACAATACTTGGCAAGAATGCAGGAACAGATCTTCACCCAAATGAACTAATTGTCTTCTGCAAACTCCCCTCCCCTTCGCTCTTTATTCCCTATAGGAGTGGCGTTACTCCTGAGTCGACCCTTGTTTCTTAGCTATTCCCTTCTCCTGGCAGCTCTGCGCATGCGCACAATGGGAACAAGCTCCAGCTGTTCTTCTGCCTCACTGATGTCTGATTCTGAAAGCACCTGACAACTGTCAGATGGCCCTGGCCCCATCTCTGCCTCCAACACAAAGCCGTCGTCAGAGCCCTCCCCAGACTCCAGGACTGGCCCATGTTTCTCCCCAACCTCCTCACTGTTCGAATCTGCTGCCAGATCCACTGGCCGCTGGTGGGCCACAACAAGAAGTACCCCAAGTCACCCTCTGCCGATCCCCTTACATGATAGGCAATTACATTTGCAGTGAATTGTCTCTCCTAATATAATAATTCATTTGTTGTTGTTGTGCTTAATGACCCCGTAATCCCTTGTGGGGTGGAGTCGGTGAAACTGAATGGAGCTGAGTGTTTACTGGCCAGATGCCCTTCCTGTCACCAATGCGGAGTTTTTGCAGCAGTTAAATTCTCATTGTGCCCAGAGAGAGAAATATCAGCCTCTACCTAGAATCGAACTCAAAGCCTCCTGATTGTGAGGCAAGAGCTCCACCTCTAGGCCAGCGCACCACTCAATATAATAATTCATTTCTGTTCTGTCTATATTCAGGTGCCTGGAAAGCAGTGATTGAGAAGGTCCAGGAAGCTCGCACCAATGCTCGGCTCAAACACCTGTCCTTTGCAGGTAATAAAAGTTCTATACCGGTTGGGATTTTTCAGCGTTTTCCGTTTGAAGGGAATAAGATAGAGGAGGGAAAAGTAGATAAGCATAGCTTCAGGCTTTTTTCCTGTGCAAACAGAACTTCTTGGGATCAGACCTGGCTGCTGAATTGCACGCACCTATTTTTCTTTACAGGAATGAATGGAGTGAGAATGTTGGGGATGCATCACGATGCTGTCATCTTCCTGGTGGAGCAGCTGTACGGTGCCAAGGCCTGCCACAAATATAAATTCCGATACCACCAGCATGAAGGCGAGGAAGAGGAGCTGCCTCTCAATCCTCACGGTTGTGTCCGGGCTGAAGTTTATGTCAGGTGGGCAAATAACTTTCCTTTTTATTTGGTACAGGGTAATAGCCAATACAGGTGCTCCTTGACTTAGGACCATAATTGGGGCTGGAAAATTCAACGTTAACTGGACTGCATTTTGCTGCAGCCGTTAAGCGAGACATCACATAATTAGGATTTGCGACCTTCCCGGCCAGCTTCTCCATTGTTGTAAACCAGCGGAGAAAGTTGCAAATTATGATCGTGTAAACCTGGGACAGTGCCATTATCATAAATACGTTGTATCCCACCAGCGGCCAGCGGATCTGGCAGCATATTCGGACAGTGAGGAGGTTGGGGAGGAACATGGGCCAGTCCTGGAGTCTGGGGAAGGCTCTGATGAGGGCTCTGTGTCGGAGGCAGAGAGAGGGCCAGGGCTGTATGCCAGCTATCAGCTGCCTTCGGAGTCAGACATCAGTGAGGCAGACAAACAGCTGGAGGCTGTTCCCAGTGTGTGCATGCTCAGAGTTGCCAGATGAAGGGAACAGCTAAAGAACAAGGGTCGACTTGGGAGTAAGGCCACAGGTGGACGATGAATGGCCCCTCCCAGAGGGAATAAAAGAGGAGCAAAAGGGGAGTGAGCTTTTGCAGGAAACAGTTTGTTCGGTTGGTCAAGGAGTGTGAAGATCAGTCCGTGAATCTCAGAGACTCTGTGCCAAGTCTTTCCTTGCACAGCACTGCACTTTGGAAAATATTTACATGGCAGCTTTCCAAGCCAGATAAGGTCTGTAGTCATAAATTCACCTTTGAAAGACTGTTTGCCAGGCCTTTGCTGAAGGTGAATGAGAGGAATCCACTGTTTGTTTAATAAAAGGGGTTTTGTCGCGACCAGGAATCTGCTTCGTGTTTTTTGGGGAAGTCTAGGTCAGAACAATACGAGCCAGTTGCCATGCACCCAGATTGTGAACACTGGCCACCGGAATGCTGCGACAGTTATAAGCGCAAGCACTGGTCATAAGTCACCTTTTTCATGTGGTTGTAACTTCAAGTGATTGCTAAGTGAATAGTCATAAGTCGAGGACTATCTGTACTTGAAGCCTGTGCAGCGATAGAAAGGGGTTCCTGATCCAGTCGATTTGGAAAGCAGGCTGTGAGAAAAAACGATCGAAAGGACAGAGAATCCATTTGGGTTCTGAACAATCCTCTATTTCTTCTCCTTCAGGAAATGCACCTTTGACATGTTCAACTTCTTAGCATCTCAGCATCGTGTGCTTCCTGAGGGTGGCCCTTACGATGAAGAAGAAGATGAAGTGCAGCTGAAATCCACCAGGTAAAGAGGCCCCCTCGGTTTCATTGTCCTGGAGCTGTAGTAGACATATCAACTGTTCCGATTCTTGTTTTGGGTAATGTCATGTCCAGCAGTTGTGTACAATCAAGACAGCTCGATTCACACCATCAGGCTTATAGAAAGGAGAAAAAGGAGGTTATGTTACAGAAAACTTGGCAACTGGGTTTTAAATATTCCATTTGTCTTAAATTTGTTAGGATGAAAATCCCTTGATCTTCTTACTAACCACTTGTTAGCAAGTTAATTATTAGTACGGAGTTTCCTAATAAAGAAGGAATGTGTTAATGTTTCAGATTTGACAATTTTGCAATCTCCCCCTCCCCCCCACCCCAGATTTTATGGCATTCATTATAGACACAGATTTATTCATGAGAGAACAACTATTGAAATCAGGTTAATTAACTCTTAGATTTCTGATTTCAATAGAGCTGCATGATAGCTTATAATTAGACCTGGATTGAGCCCAATATCTATTACTATAAAGATAAAGGTTCCCCTCGCACATATGTGCTAGTCATTCCCGACTTTAGGGGGCGGTGCTCATCTCTGTTTCAAAGCTGAAGAGCCAGCACTGTCCGAAGACGTCTCCGTGGTCATGTGGCCGGCATGACTCAATGTCAAAAGTGCATGGAACACTGTTACCTTCCCACCAAAAGTGATCCCTATTTTTCTACTTGCATTTTTTATGTGCTTTCAAACTGTTAGGTTGGCAGAAGCTGGGACAAGTAACGGGAGCTCACCCCGTTATGCGACACTAGGAATTTGAACCGCCAAACAGCCGACCTTTCGATTGATAAGCTCAGCGTCTTAGCCACTGAGACACCGTGTCCCTTTCTATTACTATAGAACCTGAAAAATCCCAATTACTGATGAGATATGAAACATGTAAAGTGTTTTTTCTTCTTTAGCCAATAAAACTAAAAGCCTGAATATCCTGTATCCCTAAGAACAATCTTTCATCACATCTGTACAAAAGTATTGCTCTAAAAAGGGGGGATATTTCCTGCCCAAAATCTTATTATTTATTTATTTATTAGTTTGATTTACATGCTGCCCTTCTCCGGAGACTCAGGGCGGCTTACAATGCATTAAGCAATAGCCTTCATACTTTTGTATATACCTGCTTAGTAAGGCTTTTGCCCGCCCCCCTGCCCCCCCCGCCCCAGCGGTGTTCTATTTTATGCCTGTTCATAATAGCTTTGAAAGAGCCAATCATATGCTGTCTGGTTTAAGGCCTGATCTGATTTATTATATCTTAGGCGAGCCACCAGCTTGGAGCTACCCATGGCCATGAGGTTTCGGCACCTGAAGAAAACTTCCAAAGAGGCTGTGGGAGTGTACAGGTAATGCTTCAAAGGGATCACAGAATATAGAGTTGGAAGGGACCTTGGAGATCTTCTAGTCTAGCCCACAGCCCCCCCAAGCAAGATACCTATACCATTTGAGGCAAATAGTTGTCCATTCTCTTCTTAAAAACCTATAAAATTGTTATAGGACCCACAATTTCTGGAAGCAAACTGTTCCACTGATTAAATTGTTCTAACTATCAGGAAATTTCTCCTTAGTTCTAGGTTGGCTCTTCCCTTGATTAGCTCCCATCCATTCCTTCTTGCCCTGCCTTCAGGCGCTTTGGAGAATAGGTTGGCCCCGTCTTCTTTGTGGCAGCCCCTGAGATAGTGGAAGACTGCTATCGTATCACCCCTAGCCCTTCTTTCCATTAAACTAGACCTATCCAGTTCCTGTTCTTCATATATTTTAGCCTCCGAATCATCACTTGTTTAAGTCTTCCAGACAAAGTGCAGGCAAAGCTGTGTCCTGTCATTTTGTTCCAGGATCTCAGAGAGCAAAAGTCCTACCAACTCCCTGGGTTCATTCGTATCCCCTCCGTTAGTTTTCACCTGTCCAATGTTCTCTCCATTTTAGGTCAGCCATCCATGGGCGGGGCCTGTTCTGCAAGCGCAACATTGACGCGGGCGAGATGGTGATTGAGTACTCCGGCATTGTCATCCGTTCGGTGCTCACCGATAAGCGTGAAAAGTACTACGACAGCAAGGTACGCTGATGAAGAAAGGGTAAAGGAAAAAGGGATGCATGCTGGGAAGGAAGTATCATGGTTGCCAGCTTGTCCCAAAAATGCTTTTTCAAAAGGCAACTGGACTGTGTTTCTTCCTTGAAGACGTTTTGCTTCTCATCCAAGAAGCTTCTTCAGTTCTGACCTCATGAACTTCCTTTATTTGTTCCTTGTTTTGCTTCTCACCCAAGAAGCTTCTTCAGTTCTGACCTCATGGACTTCCTTTATTTGTTTCCTTGAAGATGTTTTGCTTCTCATCCAAGAAGCTTCTTCAGTTCTGACCTCATGGACTTCCTTTATTTGTTCCTTGAAGATGTTTTGCTTCTCATCCAAGAAGCTTCTTCAGTTCTGACCTCATGGACTTCCTTTATTTGTTCCTTGAAGATGTTTTGCTTCTCATCCAAGAAGCTTCTTCAGTTCTGACCTCATGGACTTCCTTTATTTGTTCCTTGAAGATGTTTTGCTTCTCACCCAAGAAGCTTCTTGGATGAGAAGCAAAACATCTTCAAGGAACAAAGAAAGTCCAGTTGCCTCTTGAAAAAGCACCTTTGGGACAACCACGATCTGGATGACTGAGAATCTCCATAGACGTGATGCCAACTTGTTCTCTGAGCACGCTTCTCTTCCTGCAGGCATTTATTATCAAATTAGGTAACCTTATCATCGCAAGCTTGTGGTTCCCCATTCAAACTTTCTGTCCCTTGGGCTGAATTCATTTCCAATTCTTCTCCACCTTCACGAGGACTAGGGCCCCAAATTCTCCCCAACCAAGAATCTAACAACTCAACCCTGAGCTCCATGGATTCTTCAATTCGAAGCCCCTCTTAACTCTCTTTTCCTTCCTTGCAGGGCATTGGATGCTACATGTTCCGCATTGATGACTTTGATGTGGTGGATGCCACGATGCACGGCAACGCCGCCCGTTTCATCAACCACTCCTGCGAGCCCAACTGCTACTCGCGCGTCATCCACGTCGAAGGCCAGAAGCATATTGTCATTTTTGCCCTGCGCCGGATCTTCCGGGGCGAAGAACTCACCTACGACTACAAGTTCCCCTTCGAAGATGCCGGCAGCAAACTCCCTTGCAATTGTGGAGCCAAACGCTGCCGTCGTTTCCTCAATTAAAGAGTGGTCCCTCACCTGGCTTTCCAGATCCATACGCTTGCCCAGTCTTTTCCCGGTGTCCGCGGGTGTCCGGGCCAAGTGGATGGAAGGGGAGCTTAATCATGGCATAACTTTTTGGCGGGCTGCGCATTGCTGACTCATCCCTTTAATTCCTTGAAGCGTGTGACTCCAAGGGCCTCAATCATCTCCAAAGAGCATCAGGGATGCCTGTGTTGTGGGTGATGAGGGAAAGCTCTTAGCGGCAGCTCGGTCCTTTTTCTTTTCTTTTCTTTTTCTTCTTGTGGCTTGAAATTATGAGATGCAGAGATCCAGGGCAAAAATGTGGGAAGAATCACCTCTTATTTGTGCCCCCCTTCTGCTTCATAGACCTCTTTCCCTTCCTCCTCTTCTTCCCCCAGCACCTCCCCAATCCTGTGGGGCGAGAACAATCTTTTATTTTGTACTTTTAAATTTTTGTGGTTTTTTTTTTCCTCCTTCCTCCAAGATGATCCTCTGTTTTAAAGAAGAAGAAAAAAAAAAAATACATCAAACCCAGGAGGATGTAAATAGTTGTACAAATTTCTAAACCTGTTTATTTTCTATGCACTTTTTTTATTTAAGATGCTCAGTCAACTCAGACGGAAAAGGGTTGGATTCTTGTTGGTATAATTTTAAATAAAAAGCAATTTTGACACAAGATTGTGTCCTCCGTGGCTTCGGTTGCTTTAAATTTCAGGATGAAGGAGATTGTGTAGCCTCCAACTGTGAATGTAGAACAAAACCTCTCTGCAGAGGGACAATGACAGTTCTGTAATTTAAGGAACTTTCCTTGGTTATAACAAAATTGAAAATGCAGGTAGTTCCCAACTTGCGACTGTAATTGAACCTGCTGTTTACAGTGACTGTTGTGAATTAAGTTAGTGTGTGAACATGCACAATTTTACAACCTTTTTTGCTGTGGTTGTTGACGGGTAGTATTCACTTAACTTCCCTACCGGTTCGCAAATGTGAGCGCGTGCGCGATCTCGCTTCGCTTGCCTGCGCCCCATCCACACATGCACCCAGCCTTCTGTGCATGTGCTTTGCTGGCGCGCCTGTCTTCCGCACATGCATCCAGCCTCAAAAACATGCCTAAATAGGGTGGCATAGAGCCGGGGGAGGGGTCCACCCACAATTTCTGCTATTGGTTCAGGGGAAGCGGTCCAAACCGGCTGAATTCCACCTCTGGTTGTTAAATGAACCCGTTGTTCACCATGGGGTGTTTTTCCCCAGAAACCAGAAGTAAACACCAGTTTCTGGCAAAAAGATTATAAACTACGGTCATGTAACTGCAGGACACTGCAAAAGCTGTGCTGTAAATGCGGACTGATTGCTGAGCGCCCAAAATGCAGCCAGAAGAAGAGCATAGATATTGGATCTTCAAATCCAGATCAAAAGAAGCTTTTTCTGGGTCTGTTGTAGCTTTGTACAGTTGATAAGCGATCAGTTGTAAATCGAGGATTACCTACTGAATTTTCTCAAGTAAGCCTCAATATAATTGCTGCCTGAAAGTACTTACTATCCTCTTCCACTAAATGCAGCTGACCAGACAAGCCTTGTTTGAACTGGCTTCTCTAGGTTGTTTCCCCTAAAAAGAAAACCCTCGGAGCAATGAGCCAGGATTTTAAAGAATTCAGACATTACGAGCCACACAAACTCAAGTGACATACAGTTGTACTTCCAAACATTTTTGTACAACCGGGCTGGCATTTCCACATTACTTGGGAACATAGGTACATATCCTCTCTAGTACTAGCTGGCTAGGGAATTCTGTGAGTTGAAGTCCACAAGTCTTAAGAGTTGCCAAGGTTGGTCAGGCCTGATGTACTCCCACCTTTCCCAAGTTCTGAATGTATTGCAACGTTCATCACAACTGGCAAACTAGCATTGCTTTGACCACATTTGGAGTCAAAGCTTAAGGCATACTATTGAGAAGTAGCAGAGGCAAGGCACAGGCAGGGAGGTTGAAAAAAAAAGAACACAATGGCAAAACAACAGCTTCCACAACCACACCAAGTGCAATGACCACATGCACACTCAGCAACATCACACAAGCAGTAGTACCCAGGTTGTAGCACTGATGCGACTGATACTGCGCCCGAAAGACACTATGGCAGCCTTTGCGAGGTGTCATTGCAAAGGTCAGCATTTGGACTCTTTGCAGACACTTATGTGACAAACTCCTTCCACAGGGAATCATAAAAACTGCAGGGTTATAAAAAGTGGAGATTTTACCTTCATTTTTAGATGAGCCTTGGTAGCACAGTGGACTAATGCACTGTTATTAACATCTGCTGCTTGCAATTACTGCAAGTTCAAATCCCACCAGGCTCAAGGTTGACTCAGCCTTCCATCCTTTCTAAGGTAGGTAAAATGAGGACCCAGTTTGTGGGGGCAATAAGCTGACTTTGTATAAATATACAAAAGGATGAAGGCAATTGCTTAACGCATTGTAAGCCGCCCTGAGTCTCCGGAGAAGGGCGGCATATAAATTAAAGCAAAAAAAAAAAGTCACATACACATTGTTTTTGCAATTTGGAGCTGAAACAGAATAACAGAATAAGTTGGTCAAACTCCCTGCTCAAAAAAAAAAAAAAAAAAGACTTATGATCTGTTCTCGCACTTAGGACCATCATAGTATCCCCGGGGTCACATGATCAAAATTTAGGCAATTGGCAACTGGCATGTATTTAGGATGGTTCTCATTTCCCAGGGTTATGTATATAGCATTCATTCAAAATAGAGTTGGAAGGGAACTTGGAGGTCTTCTAATCCAGCCCCCCTATATCTGGGGTCAGCAACCTGCATGTGGCTCTTTCACCCCTCTGCTACGGCTCCCTGTCACTCAAAATATGCATCACAACCACCAATGTGCAACACCCACCGGCATGTGATTTATTAAGCTTTTAAACCCCTGGTAGGCCAACCATGGATAAATCCAAGAAAAGAAAAGTTTAAGAAAAAAACAGAACGCTTAATTCAACTCATATTTTAGTTTTGTGGCCGCTCAAGAAATAGTCAGGCACAGGAAGGGTTTTGTGGCTCCTGGTGTTTTCTTTTCTGTGGGAAACGGGTCCAAATGGCTCTTTGAGTGTTTAAGGTTGCAGACCCCTGCCCTATACCATTTCAGGCAAGTGCAGTCTCTTCTTAAAAACCTACAGTGATGAAGCACCCACAACTTCTGGAGGCAAGTTGTTCCACTGGTTAATTGTTCTTTTTTTTTTTTTTCCCTCAAAAGAAACAATTTATTTAGAATGAAACAAAATCAGCTGGACTGTGAGCGCATGTTTTGAGTGACAGCTATTTTAAGCTGTGTGAGGCATAAAATTAATTAATTGGTTAATTAATTGTTCTAACTGTCAGGAAATTTCTCCTTAGTTCTAGGTTGCTTCTCTCCTTGATGAGTTTCCACCCATTGCTTCTTGTCCTGCCCTCCAGGTGCTTTGGAGAAGAGCTTGACTCCCTCTTCTTTGGGCAGCCCCTGAGATATTGGAAGACTGCTCTCATGTCTCCCCTAGTCCTTCTTTTTCATCAAACTAGACATACCCAATTCCAGCAACTGTTCTTTATATGTTTTAGCCTCCAGTCCCCTAGGTATACCACTTTTTCTTTCTTTTTTTAAAAAATAATTTTTATTGAGTATTTTACATTTTAAAACCAAACACATAATAGCAAAAGAAATCAAGAGACAGAAACAAAAAACAAAAACACACGTACACCAGACGTTACAATACAACACTAACAACAGATACATCCAATTTTACAACTTTCTGCATCGACTTTTGTCTTGACTCTTAGCTTTTATCCTCCCGCTCCACTTTTTCAAATTAGGCAACATTTTAAGATGTGCGGACTTCAATTCCCCAGAGTCCTGCTGGCTGAGGAATCATTGAAGTTCACGCATCATTAAAAAAAAAATGCCTCTTTTGATAAATATTACTATAAAACACCGATGCGGGCCTCACTCGGAGAAAAGAGCGGGGGAAGGGAGGAGACACAGTTCCGCACGACTTCCTTTTTTTAAAAAAAAACTACAACTATCAGCATCCTCTTCTACGACGAGAAATAAAATCCCAGCATGCGGCGGGGTGGGCGTGATTTCGCCCTGTTGGATTTCAACAACTAGACCTTGCAAAGTTGTAGAACCGCCGAGGACTTGAGCTGGATCCGGAATAATAATAATAATAATAATATAATAATAATAATAATAATAATAATAATAATAATAATAATAATAATAATAATAATAATAATAATAAAAAATCCAGGACATTCCAATTACAGCCTTCTTGATTTTTATTTGTTGGGTTTGCTTTTGCCTAATTGTGACCTAGAGCAATTTGTTGGTAGTTTTATTTTTGTCGGGGTGAGCTTGCAAGATTGCTACGCCTTGTCTATCGTTCGGATTGGCTTCCTTGCTTTCTGGGAGCCAGAGAAGACAACCGGGTGCGGCATCTCCTCGTGGACTTTGCACTACAAGTCCTATAAACCAGGGGTGGGCAACTGTGGCCCTTTTACAACCTGTGGACATTAACTCCCAGAATTCCTGAGCCAGCTCGGCTGTCTCAGGAATTCTGGGAGTTGAAGTCCACAGGTTGTAAAAGGGCCACAGTTGCCCACCCCTGCTATAAACCACAACTTGTGTGTGTGTGTGTGTGTGTGTGTATATATATATATATAAATGTGTGTGTGTGTGTATGTGTATAGATATATATGGCTTCAGAAAGCAAGGAAATATATCTGCAGCCATATATATCTATAGACACACACACATACATATAGACACATATATAGACACACACACACACATACACACATACATAAATATATTTTAAAAACTCAGCAGCGGACTTGTAGTCCAAAGCGACCTGGGAGATCACTTTAGGCCATTTAAGATAGTAGAGAGTGTGTGCCTCTATTTACGTCTAGGGCCTCTTGAAAAAGCACCTTTGCAAAAAAAAAGCACCTCTTATTTGCAAAACACGCATCCGCTGCTCCATTCCTAACAACTGCTTTGTCCGTTTTAACCTGGTTTTTTTTTTTAACCCGGGTTGGGGCTTCTGCAACGGGCGGCGTAGACTGCGCCTCGTGGCTCCCCTCTGCCTGCTCCCACGTGTGGTGCCCACCCAACCAGGGGTGAAATCCAGCAGGTTCTGACAGGTTCTGCAGAACCGGTAGCAGAAATTTTGAGCAGTTCGGAGAACCGGCAAATACCACCTCTGGCTGGCCCCAGGGTGGGATGGGAATGGGGATTTTGCAGTATCCTTCCCCTGGAGTGGGGTGGGGAATGGAGACTTTGCAGTATCCTTCCCCTGCCACCCCCTCCAAGCCATGCCCACAGAACCGGTAGTAAAAAAATGTGGATTTCACCACTGCACCCAACCCCAGAAAACGCCCATTCCCAACAGGCACGTTCAGAAATTGGGGGGGACGAAACGTTTTGCCACCGAATGGCCAAAAAGCTCTGGCTACCAACCCGAGCTACGACTTATTCAAAGACGTTTCAATTATATAAATTTGAATATGGAAATCCAAAAAATAATGGTATAATCAAAACACATAGATTTCTAAAGGGGGAAACCCAAGGGGAAAATAAAAAAAATAGGAGGGAGGGGAAAAGGAAAAAAAAATTGACTAGGCTAAGAAAAAAGGGAAGAA